ATTTTTCATAAATTTTATTTTTTTCAAAAAAAAGGAATCACGAACAACAAGAACAATCGCGCGTAGTTTTGTACCAGAATTTAATCATTCAATTGATTTTCCTGTTCCACTTATTTGGAATGATAATCGTAATCATACACTATCACTTGCTGAAATACTTGAACATGGACAATTAAAAATTGATATGTATCATCAAATAAGTTCAACAGATGATTCAAATCCACAAAGTGATAAACGATCATTAGATATTCATTTATGTTATTGTACTGTTCCATTAAAAGAATTAATTTCTCGACATACAGGTATATATATTTTGAAGTACTCCTATGTAAATAAATAAAAAAATCTTCCTCTATTAAAGGAATTAAAGGTTGGTATTCATTATCAAGTGTTAATCGTGTTGTTACATCAGAAATATCTTCTGATCCATCTGAACATTGTGTTGGTGGTATAGAATTATTTGTTCGTTTTGGTCAACAAGATGATCGATCTCGAATCATTGATTCAGCTAAATTATTTGGTTGGCATGATGATAATTATATTGATGAAGAAAATTTTCTTGATGGTAAATTTTTACTGTACAATAAATATTTATTCGACTATATCTTCTTATTTTGTTAATTATTAGATCAAAAAGATCTTGGATGTTTAGTGACTTTATCTGTTGATCGTATTCAACTTCCGATTCCACTAGTTATTCGACCTGGAAAAGATCGTATTGATGATCGAACAAGTGTTTTTGTGCAATATCGACTTTATGATAAAAGTAGTTTTTACCAAAAACAAAAAAAAAACAAAATCTATTTATTTATTTTTAGTGCCAATAATAACAAAAAGAAAAAAACCAATTGTTGATAAACATAATGTTATATGTGAACTTAAATATACTAAAGAACATTTATTTTTGTGTAGTGCACCATTTTTATGGTATTTACGTGAAGAAAAATTAGAAATACAAATCTGGACAAGTGAAAATGATTCCTATGATTATTCTCCATCATTATCATCAACAGATAAACATATTGGATCAATTTATGTTGATTTAAATAGTTTATGTGATCGAAAAAGAAAATCTCATCGATTAAATGCAATTTTACCATTATTTAAACATGGAACAAAAGATTTAGGTGGAGCATTTGCTCAAATACATATTACGATTGATAAATCTAAAGATTTCAATGAATTACGGGTACATTTTTGTTTTTGCTCTAGAAAGATAGTAATAGAATTCAAATGAAAATATTTTCTGTAGTTTTCATAAAACTTGAATCATACATTCGACAAGTAACACTCGTCCGATGACTCGCTTAGCTCTTTCTCGTAGAAATGCATTTTCTTCACATTTACTGGAAAAACAAATGAAAACCGTGAAAAATTGATTTTCGATGTTTTTTTGACCCTGCGGACGACAAGCAATCAGACAATTTATGTTTACTGGACTCTTCTCTACGAGAAAGAAAATATTTAATTATTCTTATGTTTTTAGAGTCGAAATAATGCTGATACATCAAATGATGCTGAACTTGATTCTTACTTAGAAAATCGTCAATTAAATTTAATTGGTAATGATCGTGCACTTCGTACAATAACAAATAATATATTCTCAGTTATTATTAATATTGAACAAGCAGCGCATTTACCGAATAGTTATTCAAAAAATGAGTAAATTTCTTTTTTTTTAAATATATAATATTCTATATGATCTTATTCTTAAAGAAATGCTCATATTCCACCAAATCCTTATGTTACTTATTCAACAGCTGATTCTAATCATTTATGTCGTACACAAATATTAACATCAACAAATAAACCTATATGGAATTATCAACAATCTGTTAAATTAGCAGTTGAACATTTATTTAATGAGAAAAAAACATTTATACTTAAAGTTTGGCATAAAGTTAATGCTGATATCGAAACAATACCAGGTAATACTTTTATTAATAATTAAATTCTTTATTTTTTTTATTAAATATAATAGAAAAATCTGGTGATAAAGTTCTTGGTTTTGTATCTATTGATTTAAGTCCATTACTTTCTGGTTTACAACAAATATCTGGTTGGTATAATATTGTGGATACAATTGGTAATGTTCAAGGACAATTAAAAATTAGTCTTGTACCACAAGAAGATCTTTTTGAATTAAAACGTTTCAAATATAATTCCAATCAAAATCAAACAAAAACTGATTCACATCGTTCAACATCAACAATTACTGGAAATATACCACCTATGATTTTTACTGATCTTTCAGCAAGATCAGTATGTTTTTTTTTGAAAATAAATTTATATAGATTTTAATTTTATAGAGTAATGGAGGTCAAACAAGTTTAAATTCATCAATGATTGATGATGATAGCAATAAAAAATCATTTTTAATGAATAATCTTCAGTAAGTAAAATTCTAGAAGCTATTTATTGTTAATGTATTGAGAAAATTCATATAATCAGAAGATAGATCGAAATACAAATGAGAAAAATATCATATCGAATAGATGCTTTAGCATATTACTTTTACATATAAAAAATAGAATCAATAATAGACAAATAACGGGAAAAAACTTATTTGTGTTTTCTTTTCTACTAGTCGTCAATTAGGCGAACTTGGTGCGATAACTGACCGAATGAAAGCTCGTCTACATTCTGGTTCAGAAATGAGTTCAACAACGAATGGGTCATCATCAACAATGACAACTGGACGTTGTAGTAGTGTACCACCATCTATACCGCCACCAACATTTATTCCATTTAATACAAATTCTAATCATCAAGATATGGATACAGCACGTTCAGCAACAACAACTATTCAGACAGATTTATCTGAACATTTTCCTGAATCACTTAGTGGACGACCATTAGTGAGTAATGGTCTTAATATAACTGATGTTCTTTCAATTCATAACGATCGAGTTCGTCTTGCACAAGATCTTATGACAAAAGCAAATCATTTACTTGAAACATCAAAAGATTTTTTCAATAAGCCACCAACTCCACCGCCACCTCCACCTCCAACATCAATACCACCTATCGTAGAAAAACAATCAACTGCATCACCACCGCCACGACCAATATTACCAAATTTGAATGCAACAACTGAATTTCGAACTGCAGAAAGATCACCATCAGTGTCTTATAAAACTGTTGAACATGCTAAGTAAGTTTAAAATGATTGATTCAGGAAGATTCTTTAAATTTAACAAAACTCATAAGCTCATATGTGAAAAATGATTTTCATTGTTTTAAACTTTAAATAAAATATTAACGAATATGAATCTTCTTTGATTAGTCATTCATATGAACAACAACACCATAATGGTTCTATACTTTGGTCTGATGAAGATGATGATGAACATAATCAAAGTTTTCTACCAATTGGTCTTCCTCCTACTCAACAACGTTTGATAACATCTGCGACTGCGTCGTCATCACCACCACCACCATTACCTACACATATCGAGGAAACTTCTTTACATGAAGAACAACAGGATGATATCGATGTTGTTCATATTCGCCCATTAAATAATTTATCAGCCTTTAATTTTGATTGTCACCAAATGAATGCAGAACGTCTCAATGATACTTTATCACCAAAACCTGTGATACGTCGTAATATATTTTCAACAAAAGCACCTACAAATGATCAGTATCAATCCATGTCAACATCATTATTATCACCTGAAAGATCTCCAACAGTAATTATTGAACGTCAATCTCTTTCTTCATCATCATCATCGTCATCATCATCATCTTCTCCATCTCCTTCTTCTTCACCTCCACCAAAACCACAACAATCATTTACATCGGATACGTCCATTATCGACAGTAATTGGTTAGAACAACAACGTATGCGTGAAATGAATACATATAGTGTACCAACATCAATACCTTCTGATCGTTCAACTACACAACGAGTATATTAATTCATATATAAAATATAGAATATAATCTTGTTTCTTTTTCTTTTTTTGTTTAGCCATCGAGTCGTAGTTCACATTTATCATTTCTTGATCGTCCAATACCAAATTTCTTTCCAACAAATCGAGAAATGGAAGCATCAATAAAACATGTTTCACAAGCACTTTCAAATACACATACTTCTTCAGTAAGTTCTTTTTTTTTGAAATTTTTTTTTCACGATACAAATATTTTCTTTTCAACAGACAACAACTGCTAATTCAGCATCACCATCCAGTACTGTAATGAAAACCATCATCGACCGATTACGTACAAAATCGTCTAATGAATTATTACGTGGTGTTTCACCATTAGATGGTCATCTAGTTCAACCATCTGAAACAACAAATGTTACACGATTAGAAAAAATCTTTAAAACAAAATATACAACTAATCCTTCGTCGAATTAATTTGAAGACTTTATTTTTGATAGAACAAAACATTTTACTTCTTTTCTTTTGTATAACAGTGATGTTATATTCATATTATGTTCTATTTGATGTTCAGATAGTTACGATGTCTTCTTTTGTTTAAATCAAATGACAGAAGTTATTCCTGTAGACCTAGTCTAGTTCATTTTCTTTTTCTTGTAACGATATAAAATAATATAATATGGGCGTATGAATGAATTATTTCGTTTTTTTAATTAATAGAAAAAATATTTATCATTTTATTTGTTTAAGAAAAAAGATGAAGTGAGTGGATAGGTACCAATCTAGTTCGACTTTGAGAGCACAGCTTCACAGGCCAAGTGATTTAAATATCAACGCTTAGTCTGCGAAACAGTGACCTCTTGTCTCACATTTATTCTATCACACTCACAAGATTGTAGGCGGATTAAGTTAACTATTTATTTGATATAAATTGCAAAACACTATTCGGTGATTATATCTTATGTTTCGATTTAAAACAAAATTTGAACCGTTATTTTCAATAACACGTGGTTGAACCGTTAGATATATGTTCTATATTGTCACATGTCTATCATTTTCCTTTTCTATAGATATAAATAATGAATATATTCTAGATATGATTATCCAAAAAAGATGGATATGCCACCAATTCATATGTGTGTATTTTTAAGTCATGAACATCAACAATTAAAAACAAAAATAAGTGAACTTAAAAATAATATTATTCATCTGGAACAAATCATAGCTGAAAAAAATCTAAATAAAAAGCATTCAACTTCAATTTCATGTCAAACAGATATTATTATTCAACATCATTCACTTCTACCAAAACCCGTAAGATCATCTTCTGACGAAGAAAATCATTTACATCGTCTTGTGAATGCTCAAAATGAATTATTAAAAAAATATGAAAATGAAGCTATACATAAACGTCAACAACAATTACAAGTTTTACCTCAGTCTACACTTATTGATGATTATGAACGTCGTTTAGTGCATTGTCAAAAAGAAAAAGAACAAGCTGAACGACGAGCTATATCTGCTCAAAAACGTATGACTAAATTAGAAGGACGATATGAAAATATGCGTCAAAAAATGAATATATTTGATGATGGTTTTTTCGAAGAAGTCAATGATCTTAAATTTGCTTTACAACAAGCAACAAGTCTTAGTCAAGAATATGAAAAAACAATACAAATGTTAAGTGCTCGACTTGGTATTACCTATCCAATAAAAGATTCTTAAATTATAAACTATTATGTAATTTATAATGTTTTGATAGTATATTTCGATTAACTGAATATTTTTTTTTATTGATCATAAATAAAAATATTTTAGTAATAAAGTTAAAGTACTGTGAAAATTACTACAAGTGAAAGTTTTTCATTACACTATGATTTTTTTATGAAACTTCAATGAATTGAATTAAAAAGTTCTTAAAATATTCTTGTGTTAATAATGTATATAGAGACTGCTCGTCATTTGATTGATTGAACTCTGAATTACTTAACATATAGATGAATGAATTGAATTTTTATTCTATGTAAAAATATCGTAGTCAACAACAAAGTTGTATGTACATATTATATATTACTATAAATTTATGTTAAATCATTGAAATAATAAAAATTTCAAATAAATGAATACTATACAAAATGACTGTATTTATAAATATATTAGTAAAACACAATTTAATCATTCTACACACTTGTTTCAAAATATATTTTCAATTAATTCTGACTGCAGCAAACAATTTTTTTTTAATACAATATAATATCTGAACAGCAGACGCATTATTTATACCCATTTTATGTCATTTAAATTAAACTGCCTTTTCTTATATAGGATTAGTATATTCTTCAAATTTTTACTACATAGAATTGTATTTACTTATTTTCAAATTTATCCCATTTTATCGATTTATATTTATCAATAAAACATTCAATTAAAAGCTATTTCGACAGTAGCAAATGAGTTTTCTTATATTGCTATCAAACTTTATCATTGTGCGCTTTCAAAAAAAATTGGTTTTGAGAACATCTACTTTTTCTAATTTATAACATGCCAGGAGAAATAAAAAATTGAATACACTCTAAACTTTCAAAACAGAATGTGTTACATATAAATAACTTGTTTTTATTAAGAGACATAAATGATAATTAACAAAACAAAGCACACAAAATCAAAAACAAATCACGAAGAACGAATGATTGTCAAATTCTCGATACGGAGCATCAATATTTCATTCTCTTTGCCTTTGGTATAAAATCTATTGCTATAGGAGAATTTCAACGTCTAAGTATAATTCCTCTCTTTGAAGGCCGCCTAAGAGACATAAAAATAGAGGATGGACTGAATTCACAGTATTGTTAAGTTATCGATGTCAATTTATAATAGTGTTGCTTGTATAATCCGCCTGGTTTCTTAACATCTTATGTAAAATGTAATTCAAAAATATAGTTAATATTTTTTGATTGCGACTTTGAAATCATTATAAAATGTATTGGTATCGTCAAATGCTGAAAAAATAAATCATTGGCTTCCGAAAAACTTGATGATGAAAGTGTACGCACGACATGTAAATATTCTTCTTAGCTCTCATTTAATTAGTATATCTACTATTTGGATATTGCGATAAATGCTTTGAGCGTAGTGGAATCGACAACCTTGAACGTTTGATTAAAATCAACAGAAATAGATAGCATATATTTACTCTGTTTCCAGAACAGTAACTAAACTACGACTGAATAATGCTCTTAATGAAATAATATAATCGTATATAATTTTCTTGTGTAAGTTTTTGGGTTTTTACATAACATATATAAACTAATATAAGACAATGGAATGATGTTTTTTTGAACTCTACCGTGGATTGAGTACATTTGTTCAAAAGATTTTGGAGCGATTTCAAATGTGCCGTCCATCAAAATATGCCTCTGTGCATGACGAAAAAGGTCAAGTTGTTGATTCGTCGGGAATATTAAAAATCGATAAGAAACTTGATTTCTTGAGTCGTATTATAGTGAATATTCTAATATCTTATATGCAGTAATATATACTAGAAACGAAGCGAGAATAGAAATATAACATAAACTAATTAATCAATGCATGAATAATAATAACCGTATAACTTTAACACAATATCATGAGAAAAATAGATGAAAAATTATGAAATTATAAAACTTGAGTATTAAATTTGATTTTCTGTCATAATTAAATTAATAAATAGATAACCAAATAACAGTATATATTTATATCATAAGTAAAATTAGAAGTAACTGCATCAACATTTAATTTTATACGAAAACTATTATTGTGTTACTATTCATTTTTAATTCCATTAATAGATCAGGTATCATTTGAAATGGCTGATAAGTAAAAGATAACAGTTTTCAATTCAAAATCACTTATTGTTTCATATACACATTTAATTTATTTTTTTTACATAAAGCAGTTTTATTTTATATATTAATATACACAAGCCATCTACTCTTAGTCATTATATGACGCATCATCTTTACCAATAACATCCTGCTTCTTCGTTCTCTCTCTATCTCTCAACACAACATGTGCGATTTTATTTTTTTACTCTCAACCATGAGTGTAGACAAACGTCATGGCTGAATAAATATGATAATTTCAATCCTTATTTCTTTTTTTCAAACTTGAAAAAAGAAATAATGTTTGATAAAAAAAACGTTGAATTCGTGAAATGATAAAGTAATATAAATGTTTTGTATTTTATATGTCGATAGTTGTAGTCCACTGTTTCTACGAAGAGAACAAAGAAGCATCCAGTCGAATATTAGATATTAATTCGAATAATAATCTAAAATATTAGAATTATTCTCTGTTAAATAAATAAATGAAAAGTCTTAGTAAAACGTGCTTACTGTTATGTAAGAAAATCCATTCAAATATGTAACTCACTTTATAAAAGTATGAAAAAGATGTACTAGCGACTAATAAATAAGGACAGATGAATAAGTCATATCAAAATGAGATTTCTGGTTCATGCTAGAAGACCTGAAAAGAAACGAAAAATGAACACTTCTAACAAATATCATATTCACATACTTTATTCAATCAAATTGAGGATGTACGTTAAGTTTAAAAATCGACAAGCTAATAGACAATGAATAAGTTTTACGAAGGTATTATATTCAAGTATTGCTATTACTTTAAAGTCACATCTCTAGTTCAATTATTTTGTTGAAATTGAACTGATATTCTTAAGAGACTCTTTGATCGAAGAATGAACGATAATGAATATTGCAAGAATGAGTAGATCCAGATATGTTTAACTCTTCATGAAAATAGCTTCGTTTCAAACAACCATTAAGTATCTCATGATATGTCTGGAACAATCTCTTGATAAACTCATTGCTGGCATAAAGAGAATCATCTTCGTCAAAGTTATTATTGACGAAGCGGGTCTTGCACACAGTTGAGAATAACACCAGTAAAACCAAGGTGTATAGTGGAGTCTTGTTATTAGCCATTGTATTGATTTGCATTAGATAAAAGAATGAATATTGTATAATAATATGTATTTTGCAAGGATACTCTCAGTTCTATATAGTCATCAAAAATACAGGAGACAAAGGGTAGTGTAAAAATCGATATTTTTACACTACCCTATCCGCAAAGACGCTATAATTACAAAAAAAAGACACAAAAAAATGGATGATTGCCTTAGACGATTGATAGTATATAAAGACCTGCGTTTAGGCTTGATAAAAAAAATATCGATTTTTCTCTTTCCACCTAAAAAAAAGGTGTTCTAATTACGTAAAAAAAAAGAACGCTTAACTTTGATGATCGAGAATATGTTACGGCTTGCGTTTAGCCTTGATAAAAATATAAAATAAGTTTGTTGCTTATATGTTCTATTTGAAGCAATAGCTATCGTATAAATATGATTATGATCATAAAAGTATATGACAGCTACACACAAAAATTTGATAAAGAAAAGAAAGAGAAAAAAGAGAAGGATATTACTAATATGAAAGTAACTCATGTGTGACGACAACGAAGGATACATACAAAAAGATTTAAACTAGTGAATATTAACAAAATGTTGCATGAATAAAATAATCTTGCATTTTCTAGTATTCGATGACTTACTTAAAACTCGTTTTTCATTTTCAATAATATTCTAACAAACAAGTTAGTTTATATGAACTTCTATAATTATCGACATATATATAAGTGCATAGGATTTTTATGAGTTAAATAATATATGAAATAAAATAAATAAAATAGTTGAAGACTATTGTTTAGTTTTGAAATTTATACAATCATCGAACACTGTTCATATAGAAAACACACAAGAAGAACGTTTAGATTTATGTATTTTTTATTTTATAAATAAATAACTAGCAATCATACTATATTCATGTCTATAAAGCCCAAATATATATTATAAGAAAGTCTCAATTCTTGGAGATGTTTGAGTTGAATATTCACTTCCATTCATAAGCGGTTTATTAGTTTTTATGTTAAAATTTTGTTTCATTTCGTTTGATTGTTTTTTTGCATCAATGACTGGAGAATCTTCATCAACATAACTCATATCTATTTTATCATTAAATTCATATTTATCGTCAGTAATATTTGATGAATATGTTAATTGTGATGGCCGTGTTGATACTAATTTTCGTTGCTTTAATGATATTGGTGATGATGAAGAATTTCCAGTGGATTGTTTTATGGTACCTGTTTGTCGTTGATGAAAATTATTCGAAGGTGTCATCGACAATAAAGCTGGATTTGTATGTATTGTTGACGATGTTGATACATTATCATAGAAAGGATTTTCTCTACTTCGTTGAAATTTCTCTTTAAGTGGACTATCAGTTATTGATGTTACATCATGATTTTCAATAACATTACTGATTGATTCCCTTTGATCAAGATGATTCTGATTCTTACGTTTTGTAACTTCACTCACCATTCCTTCTGCTAAACTATTCAAAGTTTCTAAACGTAATAAATTAAGATCTACATCTTGAAATTTTTGTTGACGATATACACTAGATTGACGATGAACATATAATGCAACAATATCACATATAAACGTTGCTAAACCAAGTATACCAATCAATGAACCAATATTTAAACTTAGTTGTATGACATCAAAACGACCAGCATGACCACTGACCTATGATAAAAGAATAATTTTTATTGTTATGATCATTTAACATTTTGATTCAAATGATAATATTAAAGAAGATTAAAACTTTACTTTATTTGATTGTATAACATATTCGTTTAGCTGAGATATGAATAGTAATATATATATATAAATCAACGATTGCTATATCAAGTAATTATAAACTGCTCATAATTTTTAATAACAAGCGATCTACATCAATCATGAAACATTTATTCTCAGTATGCAAAATTCCTTCATAGATAAACCTTAAGTATGTAAATTAGAGATAGAAGAAGAATCTATCAGATTAATAACGACGGTTAAAAAATAATAAGTTAATTGTAAATTAAGTAAACTTACAGAAATAATAAAACGAAGACCAAATGCTTTAGTTAAAGTACGAAATGATTGATTTTCATGTTTCCAATGTGAAGCAAAGCTAAATAAAAAATATAATTTGTATTTCAATAGAAATTAGAAATTTCTTTTTTTTTTCTTATATTACCGAAAATTAAATCCTACTGAAAAGTTTTCTTCTTTAGATGGTGCATCTAAACGTCCGAATGAATATACAGGCACACATTTGTCTAATGATACATCTAAATTACATATCCAATCAATTTTAATACGAATAACACCACCCAGTCTTAATATGTTTATTTGTTCTGTTTTATTTCTTTCAACAAGATCAAGTATAGTTCCAACACGAAATATTGGACATTCTGTATGATTTTCATGATCATAACTACAAGTTCTAAGATACTGTGCGTCTCTTTGAATATTTTTTCTTATAACTTTAAAACGTGGAAATTCAATAAAATTTTTAACAAATATTGTAAAATTGAATGCATCTTGTATAGGTTCTGGTATACCACGATCATTTTCTACCGGACACCAGCCTTCTAATTCACATAGACCAATCTTTTCTTCAGAACCATTTAATTGATGACTATTTGGTAGACATTTACCTAGATAGTTAAAAGAAAATAGATAAGAAATACTTCGTTTTTGACTTACCAGTCCATTTACCATTAGCCTAAAATAAACAAACAGATTGATTAAAACCTTATTGTTATCAATACTACACAACAAAGGTATATAAAAATTTTTTACCGAAACTCTTATAACATAATCACAAGCATTTAATCTACATGCTGTGATTATAAGATCATTTTCTTATTACTAATATATGATGTGATATAAAAACAGCTAAATTGAATCTTGGTCGAACATATTGTGTAGAACTTACAATTCGAAACATAAGTATAAATTCTAAGTTGAACGTTTTCAGTCTTTCGTACTCATAGTTATTTAGCAACAAGCCTTATCATATTCTAGTAACATCTCTAAATCTTTTTCGAAAATTTCTATTCAAATAAATATTTATATGATTAATATAGAAAATAGGAATTGAGTCAGTTATTATTGTCGAAAATCATCAATGTGAATATGTCTGATTCTATTGATATACGTAATAAAGTGTGAAGACATATATATTAAATATATATATAAAAGGCATACTCATCAGTTATATTAATGATTCTTAGAACAAAACAAAATAGTACTTTAAGAAAATACGACGTAAAAACAAAGAAAATATTAATAAGAGAATAGCAGCAAGGAAAATAGAACATCGTAATGGAAAAGAAAAGAATATTTGTTTGAAACGCAGAAACAAATAAGACAAATCATTGCTGTTGGCACAATCAATTATTCTAGGAAAGTAATTGTCTTCTAATAGAAAGTATTTTTTACTACTATAATGAGACTAGAGGAGATATGTGAATTTAATATTTTAGCTTCGATAAGACTATATGAGTGAATTTTAGATGTTGATCTCATTCACAGTATCGATGACTGAAAGCCATACTCTAGTATCGTAAAATTATTTAATCAAAAGTTCTTTGCAAATTTCTCAATATACATAGTTTCACTTCCTTAATAATACCTCTCACAGTTAGTTTTTTTGAAAAAAGCTACTATTCATCATATTGATTTACTTCATAATCTGTCATATATCATTATCAAATAAATGATGTTCTATGTCGTCTGTATATTACGGTATACACCCAGAAGGATGATAATAAAAGTAATAGATCTTCTTTACACATCTCTTCGTGTGTCAATGAGAAGGTCTTTTTCTAGGCAAGACACAAAGTGAAAAATACGCCTTTAAAGTATGTTTTACTCTTTACCACCCTTTAATCAATCTCATAGAAATTATTTTTAAAAGTTCTATCATCATACTTTATGAGAATCTGTGCTCTCTCGACATCGAGTATCATTGGTACAAAATGCGAATTTTTCAGGTGCTTCTAAAATACGATAAAAAATTTCTGTTATTATAAACATAGAAAAAAATTGATTTCTAAATATACCAGCACATTTTGAATGATTTTGATCAGTTCGAATAAAATTTGTCATTAAAAATAATGCGTTATTTTCTTGTGGAGGAACAATATAATCTTTAAAAAGTTTATATGAAATTAATTTCAATAGTAAATTTAATTTACCTGCACCATCGATAACTAATGTTTTATTTTTTGCTGTTTGATTATAACCGATACCCTATAAAACCAAAAGAAAATAAAAGCAGAAGAAGAAGAATGAACTTATTTTTACTTTAACTTTCAATGTAATCGATGAAATAATTGATGTATCAATATCTTGATAACCTTTTTTAATTATCATTAAATATACGATACCATAAATTAAAATTAAAAGTTGAATTATACGACATGTAAGTGCAACTAAAATAGAATAGAAGAAAAATACTTATTATTTTTGAATCATTAGAGACAAATCTTGAATATATTATATTTTTTCCCCTTGATAAATCGATTGTATTTAATAGTCAGTTTTGCTTACTTGAAATGGAATGAATAGTAACTATTTTTGGTGTTTCATATTCATAGACAAAACCTTGAAACATTGATTTCATATTAGTTAAAGAAAAATATTCTCGCACTGATAAACAACGTCCAAGAGAAGATGCTGATCCAGCAGACATTTTTTTTTTGTATTCAAATAATATTTTTAGATGACAAGAATAAGATAAAAACTTGAAAGACGATGGTCTAAAATAGAATAAATGATTAGAAAATATCTTCAAGTTAGTCCCGGATTTTTACTGAGAAAGTTCGAAAAAAAAACTGAAACGAAATGCAACCGCACCCAACATACCCTGTAGACCCGTTCCTGCTTCAAGTATATATAATACATATGATATTTAGTCGTATATATACAAAAAACTTTTTCTCTTTCTGATCTACATCTATTGTCTCATACGCATATATTTACACTAAAATTAGTTGACACAGAAAAACAACAATTGTCTGATACTTGCCTTGAGCGAATAAGGACATTCTGATATTGTCATATTTTCTGACTGACCTTCTTTCTCTATCGTTAAAAATGTTGATTAACAAATGTTATTATAATCAGTATACAAAAACTAATTTTTCATAAGTCTTATGATATCTGTACATAAATATCATGTATTGTTTTGACGTAACTTCTGTCAAAAATAATGTTTTATTAGTTATCTATATATAGATATATGTTATTCTTGCACGTCAGTAAATATTGTTTAATTAATTAATTAATAGATTTCCTACTCAATTTAATATATATATCATATGAATAGTCTTTATATATATATATATTACTTAGCATAATAACAAACGACCATCTGTGCTAAATCGACAATCACTATACAAAAACACATAACCATTATAACTTCTATCTAGATTATTAATGGATTTAGTATTATCATCTTATATTACCTCGCGTAATTCTAATCGACACATTACAACATTTGAATATGCATATGCCTAAGTGTCCTTGACGTCTGAATGACTTACTATAATTTATGTTAAGACCTAGAATAAAAGATTATTTGATCGAAAATCTTTTTTGCATATGCATGTGTGTTTCTATCAGCTTAAGTTGTTCCGTTAAAAAAAATTTTGTAGTAATATATTGCTTTTATTCTCTATTGTAGTTAAGCCTACGATTTCCAATGTAATTAAAGCATGTATAGTTTTAATACATCCGCATAGAAATACAAAAAAAAAACACTCCTTGTAGCATCACGCACACTCAAATATATACTTTTATACTTCATGATTTTCCATAGAGAGTCTAGAAAATAGAGAAAAGGGATTAATCTGACAGATGCAAGAAATCATTTGATAAATCGACGACCTTCATAGTTCATTCTTTTTTTGTAACACCTAGTTATTTATTTGATTAGTAAATTCTTTATGTAAAAATGTTCAATCAGTTTTTCACACTTTATTATTCTATACAATCATTGTATATCCATCATTTAGACAATAAAAAGGAATTGTCTAGTACTTAATCATGTTCTATCAATGATTGATTATAAAATCTGTCTACTATTCAATTTCTTATATTTTTGTAATATAGATCAACGAATATGCCCACTGACCCTATAATCATATGAATGAATGTATTTATGGCGTAAAAACTATTATTTACTTATACTGAATTGACACTCTTTATATAGATAACAACAGAAACTAAGAAAACTATAATTCTGTCATTTATTATGAAATATGAGACTTAATAATGTTCTATCGTGTAGATCTAACTTTTTTTTTTCTAAATGTAAATATGTTAAAAAGAATTTTACCTAATGTCTATTGATTATCGACCATACTTGTAAATCAAATCTTCAAGAAATTATTTTATTAAAAACATCATGCTGATACAATGATAATTCAAAGGAAGTGAGTTTCCATGCTGATAGTTGTGAAAATTTTTATTATGTTTCCTATGAATACATGATTGGCATTTTTTGTTAAACTATGTCAAGTAAATATTTGTTGTTTTTAGATAATCAAGACTTGTTCTATTAATGTTATTCTCAATCTTAATTTATATTCTAAATCAAATCATTCTCTTACCGTAATCAGTATTGCTTGCCTATAAGAACAGAATGATGGAATCTAAAGTAAATATAAAGAAGAAATGCGGCGAGACTGAATATATGACGACAATAAAGCAAAAAAATAAATCAAGGAAGCAAATGCACCCACATAGAAGAGCAATGATTGCAGGAATAATTAGCAGATCGATCGAACGAACGTGTGGATAGTCTTGCTAGTCGTTGTTTAGTTCTTGTTCTTTTTTTTTTCTTCCTATTTTCTTAATATATCTCGTGTCTTCTCGTTTTATATGTCTTTCAGACTCTTGAGAATGTATGTTGTGAAAACTATTGATAATTGTTATGTGTGAGAGAAGATTAAAACCTGAAACATACCAATATTAACAAAAAGTTATCATAGTCGTCTATTAAAATTCCTTCGAGATTATACAGAAAAGAAAACTAAAATAGGTCAAGGGAACATATCTGATCATTAATAAAAAAATTTTATTAAGTTTTTTTTTCTTCCTTTCTACATGTAGACCACTTGAGAGTATTATTCGTCCTATGAGATATAAGTAGATGCTAAATTTTTGTATTGTTTGAATTCATTTTATATAAAATATCTTATTTATATGTGCAAAAACAGATACTATAGTACATCTCGCAAATATTAACAACATGCAGCTGTTTTTTTTCTCCTCTATCATTAGTAAGAGTATAAATTCGGAAATCAGGTAATCAAAAAAAAGAAGAAAACAATGTATTATTTAAGCAATCATATGATAAATTAATTATTCATTGGAATGGATTTAAAAATGAGAAAAAGTATAATAATTAACTTTATTAGAAATGTTTTCGTGTTCAAACATCAATCTGATGATCAACATATTTAACTAACTGCATTGCCAATATGCGTCTTAAGTGGTAATAAGAATACTAGACCAGCTGGATGCTATTATCAAAAAAAGAGAGTTTATTTAATGTTATTATAATATTATGTCTATAATAGAAAAAAAATTTCTACCCTACGAACTGAAAAAAAGAGTATTAATTGATTGATTGCAAGAACAAAAATATTAATTGATTTAGTTTTGTATTTTAAATAATTTATTCTATGTTATATTTTCCAGCATAATATGTCTAACAATACAATCAGTATTAATAACTAATCTTTTTTTTATTCTATATCTGTACTAATATCGATTCTAAATGACACGTCTCATAGATCTATGCATCAAAAATATAGATATTCGAAGCATAATGTTACACTGATATAGATGAGCTATAAAGATTTTTGTTTTTTTCTTTCTGACAATGACCTTAAGTGATAGGGGAAAAAATGTTAATAGTAATTGTTCTTTTCACTGATATGTAAATATACGACGCAATACAGACAATAAATAGAAAAGATACTTCATATGATAATAATCATCAGTATCAGGGGGTGTTCCATTTCCCTTACTGTTACCACTTACCTGATAACAGTAACCACTTACCACTGATATGGTAAGTGTTGGTAAGAGGCTGTCACAAAAAGGTTTCTGGTAGCACTTACCATATCATTGGTAAGTGGTAAGTGATCATTATTATCAAATCAATAGTAAAACTAGTGACTGATCGCTGTTAAATATGATATTTTCAATTATGAAAACACATACTGTTACCTTGCTAAGTGGAAGTGATAATAACAGGTAATATGATACCTCTGATCAGTATTAACTATATGAAATTTTTTTGTTAAAAAAGACTGATGAATTTGTTTATCATATTCAGTTTGACTGAATGTAGGATGTGTAGATAAGAACATTAGTTTTTAATGGGACAGACAATCACATGAAAATTCATTGGCAGGGCTCATTTTGAGTAACATATAACTGTAAAACTGAAGGCGGTAACACTAGGATAATAATCGCTTAGATTACAAATAACTTTATTCCATGAATCTCAAGTATTGTAACAAGTTAATATTGTTCATTATTATTGTATTATTCAAAATACAAACGGAAATTGTATTTTTTACTATTAGCATTAGTTATTTATTTTTAAAACAATTTATATATTTATATTAGAAGTGTACTGAAATCTAATTATTCGTCTAAAATTGACTTTTTAAATATGTCATATGTAGACGTGGTTGACCTATTTCTTATATGAACCATGTAAACAACTAAAAAAAGATCTATAGATTATTGTTATTCATCTACTATTGAAAAGTAGCGATTTTTATATTCAACTGTTTTTTCTTGAATAGTATGGATAATCATACTTGTTGGTATATGAAAATATTTTTTAAAAGGATCCTATTTACATGATCAGTAAATATATGATTTCTTTACAACAAAGAATATTCAACAATATTTAAGTTAGAATTCATTCAGTACAAGATCTTTGAATTGTTGTCTTAGTATTCTTAGTACAATTTTGTAATCAAAATTCAACTGTCACACTGAAGACGTTAGATGCTGTTTGGTAATGATTTTATAATAATCAACTTATACTTGTCTCTTACAGATAATTAAAGACTATTGCTGCTTAAACTTTTAGATCTAAACTCGATCGAATCAAGAATATATTTAAGAAAACTTCAATCTCACCAATTTTCTTCTGTAAATGAAAATCAGTTTGTGAATGTTTTAAAACAAAGTAAAAAATACAGTTAATGTTGATATGACAATGAAATGTGTTTTATAAATAAGATCCTGTCGAACACGATATGATTTAAACAAATGAGACAAAGTTTATATTTATTTTTCAATTTTGTTCACAAGTTCAAATATTTTCCTATCGCTTTAGTGTACTGAAAAATGAAACTTGGTTTCTGCAGTAAATGCTGAATTTCTCTCTGATAAAAGAGACGCTAAATCATTGACAGAATAGTTTGTTTAGTTCTTGTGATCATTTGTAGACGTTACTCAATATTTCGTTTCGTATGTGACATATATTTTTCAGTATGTCCAGTATATTTGTGTTCTTTTGTCTAATACACTTGTTTTTATGAAAACAAACTTACTCTCTCAAAAAACTTAAATTCTTCTACAGTGTAGTTTTCGTTTGCTTATGACAAACTCGTTTATTTGTGTTGATAAGAACGGACACAAGAGATAAACAAAAGTTACCTCTTGCAAATACAGACGAATACAAAGAATAGAAATAAACAACGTGCATATAAGGAACTTATTTTCATCTAACTCAGCCATTTTTATTGTCTTAATCATCTTTTTCAAAACATCTTATTGCATTTCGCTTCGTTTTCTAAGGTAAGTAGTGAATGTTATTCGATCAGGATTTTATCTTAACATCAAATAATATCATTATTTATGTTGTATACACAAAATATTTTTATTAGTTACTCTAAGGAATATTATTCACGTATTGACATGGATAAGGTAGTAAATAAACTAGTATCGGTAAAAGTTGTATATAGTTGAGTTAACAAAGAATAAACCATTACTATGATGTAGTGAGAAGATAAGATGATTTAAAAGTTCATAACGGCTGAAAGTCTGCTGTAGTTATGGAAAGGAAACCTCTGCATTAGGATGAAATATAAAACAGATTGGCATCGTCGCGGTGATATTAAAAAAGAATGTTTCAGAAGTCATTATATCACTTCACTCGAGTAGCATTGTTACTGTTGTTACATTGGGTATGCAGAATTAGTTTTGTTGTTGGTTGAATGGATCAGAATTGGGAGCAATATCAGAGCTACGATACAAGAAGTTGTTTGGCCTAGAACTAAACATTGCAATTCAATATTCCAAAGCCTTGAGTAAATTATTCTATAAATAGTACCAAGTGAAATAAAATTCAAGCGATTTAAACAAAACAAGTGATATTTATCGACTGAATAAATTAAAGTTGGAACCAAGATGAGGGCCAGGACTCTTGAAAAAGAAGTTATCGAGACTGGATCGACATCGAAACTTAGAAAGCTGGTTCACACGCATCTCTACGTGTTACGAATCAGTCATATTTATTCAGTCTTAAAATGACACATTTGTCGATGTTAGATTTCTCTACAAACTAGCCATGCATATAACCAAAACTATGGTTTAGTGTTTGGACTCTAACGATTTCCGATGGAGTTTGAGTTCGGAAATTGTTTGAGCAGTTCAGACAGTGCCAGATATATAAGTAATTGTTGAGGCGTTTCTTGAAATATAGGAGCAACCATAGAAGTATTTAAAGTCTCGGTAAAGTTTGCGCATATGGATATTTCGGAGTTTCGTTGACTTTTTGTGAAACAGGATTGAAAAGGAGTATTAAAATATAGTGATAAAAATTTTGTTTCTCTTTCGCACAGTTCGCGACAGACATCACCATGAAAACTGTGATGAACTGGAGATGTAGCATTAGTGCTACTCTTGGTAACGATGTTTATTGAGCTACTTCATCTACTTCAATCGTATCGATATTACTTAAAGCACATCATTATAAAGAAGAGCACGAAGGAGATACAAAGGAAAAAGTGCTGAGAGAACAATAGAATAGAAGAAGAAAAGAGCGAGAAAGAGCACAGTAAGCAGATTCTTTATCTTTTTATAAGTCACGGTCAAAGTAACTTCTTTTATATTTCTTTATGAAGTATAAGTAGATGATGGGTATGCGGTGGTTATAATACTCACACCCATAGACACACCCATATAAATTGTAAAGTTACTTCAACTACTGATGCTTTCAAATCAAATCATGAAAATATAATTTAATCGTTCATCTAGTACCTAAATATGATAAAATCAACTTAAATCTATCATCCTTGTTTATTATTTAGTCCGTCATTCAATAAAAGAAATAACTTGAATAATTAATTAATTATAATGAGTCATTCAGGAGATCGTTTTACAGACATCGAACTAGAAAATAAACGATTGCCAGCATGTTTTGGTTACCTTACTTGGAAATTATTATCTCTCGAAGAAGCGATGAATGAACTACCAATTTTTTTAAAAGAAACAAATCGTTTTGTTGAAGAAGCTAAAAAACATTGTACACATCCAAATGATCATAATTTAACAAAAGATGAATCTGCTGCAATTTACATTTATACAATGGAAATGTCTGATGATTCATGTGTTTATCGAATTTTAAATGAAACACTTCGTCTAGAAGATCGAACAAAAGTTCGTCCATGGTTTGGATATTTAAAACTTTTAGATTCTGCAACATCAAAATTACCTAACTTTAAAGGAACTGTTTGGCGTGGTATTGATAAAGATGTTACTAAGTATTTTAAAAAAGGTCAAAAAATTACTTGGTGGAGTATAAGTTCATGTTCAACATCTATTAGTGTTATTTCTTCATTTATTAGCGAATCTTCTTCAAGTACATTATTTAATATTGAATGTTTAAATGGAAAATCAATTGCGTCATATACAAATTATCCAAATGAAAATGAAGTTATTTTAATGCCTGGAACAGTATTTGAAGTTGTATCTAATCCATTAAATCATTCAGGAGGATTAAATATTGTTCATTTAAAAGAATCAAGTAATGATGAACCACCGAGACCACCAAATCCGAGTAAGTCGTTCAATTACTATATTCATTAGATAAGAAATCAACAAGATGAATTTCGATGCATAAATCAATATGAGAATAATTGTGCAAAAATCTAATTAATAAATAAATAGAAAGTATTTTCACGAAAATATTATTGTGTTTCTCAGATTTTTTTAAACTAATCGAATAAGAAATTGAAATAATTCAGGATTAGATTAATTATTGATTATAAATTCATATTTATTTATTTTTATTTCAAATTCAAAATTATTTGTTTTATTTGACTGATCAAGATATATTGCTAGATGAAAATATTTATAGAAAAATTCAAGCAAAATAATTTATTCTTATTTAGATGAAATATTGAAAATGTTTTATGAGATCAATATATGAGCTAATGTTAATTATCTATTCGTTTTTTTATCTTTATAAGAAAAGATTTTAAGAATTTAATTACATTTAAAATTACAAAGTTTCATAGGTAGAAAATGTGTCAAATAATAAAAAAATCTTTGGAAGAGATTTCGAATGATGTTTTTTTCAAAATCAGATAAAATTTGTTTTACAAATTAATATTACTTTGTATTCCATTTAGTCTTTCATAACACATAGTGCAGAAGTTTTAATTCGACTTAAGTGTTAAGTTTTTAATCTAGTAAAAGACGTGATTGAAAGTTTATCCCTCGAATAAAAACACACAGTTAAGAAAGTTTTACAAAAATGGCTTTTTATTGACTTTAGTAATTCATATAATAAGAAACTAATAGATTTAAAAATAAAGTTCACCAACAAAACGAAAACTATTTGTGAATCCGATCTTCATATTTTATTTGAACTTCTATTTTTTAAATTTCATAGAATAAATTCCCTCTTTTTCAATAAAAATATCATAGGATTCTGCACAAGATTACTACGAAAACATTACTTTGATAATCTCAGTCAATAAAACTAAATAAACTATAGAGCAGATAAACAAAATTAAAAACTTTCTGAAATCGATATTTTTTATTCTAATCTTTTGTTGTTGTTGTTGATTATTTCATTGAAGAACATTTGAAAAAATAAGAATTATATTTGTATTTGGTAGTTCCAGATGTGAACTATTTTTTGTGATTTGTATAAAGAAGAATAAAATAGAGAACATTTTGCAAGGGTGGGTCATAGTTTGGTAAAGAAGAATAATCAGATCTGATCAAAACAGACTAAACTAAATTGAAAAATCTTTTTTTCCAAATAAATGATGAAACTTTAATAAAATATGTTATTCCATCAAGAAAATTGACGATATAAATTTTTCTTTTCTTTATAAAACTTATTTCTTAATCTATAGAGTTTTTCACTATATAAACACGGGTAGGTGTGGGTATGAGTGTACGATGGCTATAATACTTACATCTACACCCTCAATTAAAATTTGTTGATTTTCTAGGTACTTATGTTAATATTTCAAATGAATAAAATATTATATATATAATCATTAAGAGTTTTAATCCAGCTAACCTCTATGAAACAGTTAGATTACACAGAAATTAGTTTTGTCATTAATTAACATATTTTTCTTAGTTAGATAAAATATTTTAAAGGCTTTTCTTAAATCTTCTACATTTTTCATACATTTCTTTCTATTTATAACTATGAAATTGAACATTTCCGTTTTGTGTACTTTTTTTTTGTTTAGTATAAACTAAATTTCCTTTGAATAGTTACTGATTTGGTGAGAGAACACATTATTGAAGTGCGATATAATAAATACAGTATGGTAAAGTTACTGGTGAAGACGATATTCCGTCCATATATCAAACTTCGTAAAATTTTGTATTTTTTAAATATGTTTTTCTGAAAACATGAAAAAGACTAATAACACCAGAATTTCATATTCATCATTTTTATTGTAGAGCCATCCAATGATTTACTGCGTGCTTTCATGACACAGATGTATGAATTGAACGAGTTCACTACACCTCGCTACTTTTTCATTCTTCCGGCAAAGCACAGCGATTGGACAATACTCAACACGACGAAAGAGTGGTATCATCTTCATTACAAACTCTATTTTCTATGTGAATGTTCAAATGAGCCCCATAAAATACATGTAGCTCCACACAACGGCTATTCGATTAAAAAGACGAGAGAATTCATCGTCAGATATGTATCTTATTTACGAACAACGTTGAAAATTGCTCAAGTCCTATTCAAACTTGGAAGTTTTGTTATTCCACAACAGGATAGCATGACAGAGGCTGCTGGTAGCGATGTAGATACGATTTTACCGACATCTGATAAGCAAAAAGAGATGAAAGAACAGCTAAACTTGGTTGAGAAATTACTCAATCGAGTCGACAATAATGGGACAATGTCAGAGTCTACGATGGTCGGACAAAATGAGTCACGTGGAGTGCCACTTCAAGAAACAGACTTACGTGAACTCGAAAAGTATCTGGATGTTGCCGATAATAAACTTAGTTTAGGAAATCTGTACCGAACAGTCACCGTTGATGGACATGTGCGTTGGTTGTGTCTAGAGCACTATGACGATATCAGCTTTAATAACACTATGCCCAAATATATTGACCAGTTGGAAGCTATGGGAGGTAAATTCGATACGAAAACTAGAGTAGCAGTGTTGAGTCCAAAGGATTTGAGCAGCAAGAGTGTCCAAATATTGTGTGAAGCTCTCACAAAAGGTTTCAACGTTCTGAAATTGACACTTAAAGAGTGTACATTGTATGAAAGTGATCTTGTCACACTGCTTGATGTTGTGATTAATCGCTCTTCGATTCAGTGTCTTAACGTGTTTACTGTTTGTGTTTGCAATATGTTTGGATTTACGAAGTATGTCTGCAAATGCATGACTGCAGAATTTAATAATCAATCCTTCCAAGTGCGCTTTTGCGATAGTTACCAAGGTGGACATATTTCAATGCTTACTCAACTCTTGCTACAAAACAAGATACGTCGAACGTTGGATTTTTCTGCTTGTGATTTTCTAGGCTACGAACGTGATCTTCAGAAGTGCTTTGAAACGAATGGAATGGTGACTGGATTGATTGTGGAATATTCTAACAATGTTGATATCATAAATGCTGTGCTCAATTCAAAAATGGGAGCATTATATCAACTAAAACTGAACAAGTCGTTGCAGATACCATCGACTTTAACTCGTTTCTGTGAAATGTTGAAAATCAATCAAACACTAAAAGAAATCGATATTATGGATCAGACTGGTTTCGAAGACGAAACTTTCATTGTTAATCTTTTGAATATTTTGAAAGCACACAAATCAATCAAACATCTCAGTCTCCATGTACAGAATATTCAACCAACGGATCGGAAAGAGGACAGTTTGATAGACTCATTGAAAAATGATCAATTTATCTCACGCCTCCGTATATCTGAATCTATTATCACACATGAACTTACACAGGCATTTATCCAAGCTTCTCAAGAACATCACATCTTGAGGCATCTTGAGTTATATCATACCCAAGTGAACATCGACGATGTTCAACAGCTGAAATCCTTATATGAGAATCACAGTTTGATGTACCTGAACATATCAGCACGGCCATATTGGTACGCAATGCTGGAAGAAACAAATGGGCAACTTAAAAAGGGTAAGAATTAAGATATGTATTTCATTGATTCTTCGGAAGATACCAAAACTTGATATACGGAGAGTAAATTAAATGGACACCTGCACACCTACATACTCGTTGATTTCCTATAGTAGTCTGACATGAGATCTTATTCGATCACCAGGCACTAAGTGTACTGGGACGATTTAGCTTTTAAAACATTCTCATATCTATATATTATTCGTATGACAGTAGAACGTGTCACGACTAAAAAGTCGTTTTGCTATGCAAATAGTACTAAGATACATTTTCCTCAAACGCTTATCGACGTTTGCTTTTGTCCAACTAAAACCATTGAGATGACTTATGATAAACGATATCCATGACATTCTGTACTTATTTCACATAAAATGTTTATCATCCCCGTTTTTAGTTCAGAAATTTCAAAGCGGACTAATCTGAATCCATTGGAGTATTCATTGATCCACGATGATTGCTAAAAAGGACTGTTAAGAATAAGCCACACGTGTTCGGTTTTTATTCACAATACATATACAGTATTCGTTGTAGAGGTGTTGATCAAATTTCAAGAAAAAGATATGTGAAACTAAATATATTTTCCTTAATAACAAAAATGAAAACAGCTAAATAATTGTCAAGATAAATAAGTTGAAAGAAGAAGACTCGAAATGTAATCCTATTGATTTACATGAGCGTACAAAACGTACAATAACCACCTCTGAGAGTTTTGTATTTGAGAATCTTAATAGAAAATAAATAACAACTAACGATTTGTAACTTAGTCTTGCGATAAAGAGCACGTAAAAGTTGAAATTTCATTAACTTTTCTACAAAACTTTATTCTGTATTGAACGAGACATAATCAAAAAATTAACTATCTCAATGAGAAGAAGTATCTAACTATTCTATAATCTTCTCAATCAGTAGAATTACTTTTCTGTTCTCAAAAGATCACGTTTTGACTTCAGATAAAAATAAACAATACACTGAAATATTGACTGAATAGAAACATCATTTCATAAAATTCATATGAGCAAACAAAATAATCTGTCGCATATACTATGAGAGATCAAATGCAAACCATCTGACTCAGATTCTACCTGATTATCGATGTCTACTATGTCGACATTAACAAGCGTTGTATTTCGATCAAAGAGATAGCTCAATTCAATGAAATGACTGAGAATAATAAGATTTTTTCTATTGAACGAAGTTAATCATGTTTGAAAGCATCTATTCTCTATTCTATTCATGTGCTCCTTGTCATATACATTGCAAAAAAACTGAGACATCTTATTGTTCTAGAATAGTCTTTTTTGATAATCCACATCCGAACAGCCGAAAACAAAGACTATTTGTGCACTCTCCACTGAAACTAACTATCAGAACTCTATAAAATATAGATTTTCAAAGGTCAATCGTCAGTACATGAGAAAGAAAACAGATACTGAGAGACCATGCTATTATCAATCTCTTTCTTATACTTTTCTAGCAATCACACTCAAAAATACTCATCGATATGAAGATTAATGTCTTTCATCATATTTAAATAAACTAATTTAATATTAAATCTAAAAACTTATTTAAACTCAAAAATCTTTTTATTTGAAAAGTTTAAAATAATGTTTTTTGATATTTGAATGATTAAAAAAGAAAAAATCTGAAATTCTTTTTCAACTCAAAATAAAAATAAATTATTTACAAACAAAATAGAAAATGTAGAGAGAGAGAAAACTAGTTAGATTTAAAAAAGTCATATTTAGATAGATATGGGAAATGGAATTTTTTTTTAAATATTAATTCAATATATTTGTAGAATTTGTACCAAGAAAAAAAGTTAAAATAGTTCTACATCATTATGAAAAATGTCGATAATTCTTTTCTCATCCATTTTATTTTCTTTTATTGAAACTAATTTCGATATGAATGAGATTAATTCTTCAAGCTTTAAGATCTATTTTAAAAAATCATCGAAACTTCATGTTCTGTTTTTATTTTAACAGAAAAAGATCTTCAACTTCTCTCTCATTCATTCATAGAATTGATCAATCTTCTTCATTTATGAATTAAAATTATCTTTTTTTGTTAAAATAAGAAAAAATCTATTCAATTCTAATTTCTATCTCTTTTATTTTTCATTCTTAAGAATGTTTGTTAAACCAAAAACCCAAATTGCAATGATGCTCTTGTAGAGTTTTTAATGAAATTTTTATAAAATTTAGTTTTGGTTTACAATAAAAAATATCGTTCATAGTAAATTATTATCTTAACATAGATTTATATGAATAAACTTTTAAATATTTCATTTCATTTTCACTTCAGATGATTTTAAATAAAAATCTTTTTATTTTACTTAAAAAACAAATTCAAAAACTAAACCGAAAATACTTTTATTCTCATAATAAAAGAAATTCCGAGTTTTTATTTTTCACATCTTTTTCAAAGATAGAACAGATTCATTCAGATCACATTAATTCGAATCATTTTTATTTTATTACATTTTAAAATAACACTTTTTTATTCACATTTATTCATCCATTTTATTCAAATATTTCAAAATCTTTTTTCTTTTAGGACAATCAATTCTTGTCAATCATATTACTATCAACACCAAATGGAAACAACATGGAATTATTATTGCTGGAGGAAATGGACAAGGCAATCAATTAAATCAACTCTCTTGTCCTCGTGGTATCTATCTTGATGATGATCATCAAACTATTTATATTGCTGATTATTTCAATCATCGTATTGTTGAATGGAAATATGGAGCAAAGAATGGTCAAGTTGTTGCAGGTGGACATAGCAATGGAAATCGAAATGATCAATTGTATTGTCCAAGAGATGTGATTGTTGATAAAAAGAATAATTCTCTCATCATTTGTGATTATGGAAACAGACGAGTGGTACGATGGCTTCGTCAAAATGGTAAAAATGGAGAAACAATCATTTCTCATATTGATTGCTGGGGATTAACAATGGATAACAATGGAGATCTTTATGTCTCTGATTGGATAAAGCATGAAGTGAGACGATGGAAACAAGGAGAGAAAGAAGGAACAATAGTAGCAGGTGGAAATGGAAAAGGAGATAATCTCAATCAGCTCAACTGGCCTAATTATAGCTTCGTTGATGAAGATCATTCAATTTATGTGTCGGAAAATAACAGTCATCGTGTTACGAAATGGGTGAAAGGTGCAAAAGAAGGTATTGTTGTTGCTGGTGGAAAAGATGACGGGAATAGTTTGACACAATTATCTTGGCCTGCGGGAGTGATTGTCGATCATTTGGGTACTGTTTATGTAGCTGACTCGTACAATAATCGAATAATGCGTTGGTGCAAAGGATCTAGCGAAGGTAGTATTGTTGTTGGTGGAAATGGAAAAGGAGACCAATCAAATCAATTCAATTGTCCCACAGGTTTATCATTCGATGTTCAGGGTAATCTGTATGTTGTCGACGAGAATAATCACCGAATACAAAAATTTGATATTGATTTGAATGAAATTTGTTGACATCGATGATGAAATGAATAATTTAATTTTTTTGTGAAAATATTTTTGTTTATTTTTCTTGAAAAATAAATAAATTTGAAAATTTAAAATGAATTTTTGTTAATAATCAAATTAAGTTTGATTCATTGATAAATATCTGTTTTGATGTAATTTTTTAAAATGATTAAATAAAAGTTTAATTTATTCATGAATTTTGTTGTGATTGATTTGATATTATATGTTCATAATTAAAATTAAATTTTCTGATTCGATTGAGATACATATAGAAGTGAGTTTCTAATTCTATTGAAGATGAAATAACATGAGAGCATAAGAAAGTAAGATGGAAGAATATTTGACTGATGAATTGATCGATTTTGTAATAAAATAAGATTCGATGATATTGTTGTTTGTCATTGAAATATTAATGAAAGAAAAAGAGATAACAGTGACGATATTCTATAAAACATAAATAATGATTAGATGATTTTTTCATAGAATTGATCTTGACAAATTTTAAATAAATAAATAAGTCAATTTATTTTCCTCAATCGATCGAAAGAAAAGAAGAATTGTAAAATATGTGAATATAATTGAGGCTGTGTGGGTGTGAAATAAGAGACACCTACGCCCACACCCGGTTTTTTGAAAAAAGACAATATTTTCAGAGATTTTTTGTACAAAAAAAGTTGCAAAAATCAGGTCAGAATACTTGATTTTTTTGTAAGCAACTAAATTGAAAGCAAAAGTGAAAAAGTCTTTGCCACATGGAGGGGTCAAACACAAAAACAAGTTTTTACTTTAATTATTACGATTTTTTTCTTTAAAAAATAGTTTCATTAGTTGAAGTTCGAAAAAAACAAAATCTCTTTATATAGGGTGTTTCAGTAGAACCGCTATAAAACCAATAAATCATAGTGTATTCGAAAGTACAGATTATGAGCTATCTAACTATTTTTAAATCTCCAAATTGGTATTTCTGACGAAAACTGCTTTGTTTATCCGGGAGAACGGGAGTCTTAAATTGAAATAACAATTATTGAAGATTATCTGTTTCTGTAAGGTATCAAATGGATGTAATAGTATTAGCAAAGCAGTTCAAACAGAAACAAAGACGATAAGTAAGACAACATCTATGTGATATCGAGAGATTTTACCGAACGGTGAAAACTGATGAAACATAATTAACTACTGATTGACTTTTACTGATCATTTAATTTGTACCCTTCTTAAAATATAAATATTAAATTCGTCTTTCAATAAATAGTTTATTTCTACTACGATAACTATGTTTTTCGGATATTATTTACTATGAAAATAAATGATGAATAGTACAATCACAAATATATAACTGTGAAAAACAGAAACAAAAAACTAAAGAATAAATCATTAAGTTATAAGTGTTAGTCGTCATCATCGTCATCTGGTATGGCAGGTAATGGTGGTGATAATGAAGTTTGTGAAGTACTCATTAAATGATGATGAGGAGAAGATGGTTGAGGTGAATCATTATCATATAAACATTGAAGAATTTGAGTATATTCCGTTTCATATTGAGTTGTTTTCGCTTTTTCTTCAGCAAGAATTTGTTCATAATATGATGTCATTTCGAAATTTTCTAATTCAGTCATTAAATACTGTTCATTGAGTACTTCGTTTTCATGTTTAAGTGATTCATGTTCAACTAATAATTTCGTATATTCTAAGAAACAATAAAATCAATGTTACAAGAATTTTCATTGAGTAATATATATACATACCTTGCTCAAGATGTTGTTGTAATCGATGAGTTTTATCCGCATCTTCATTTAGTTTTCTTAATTGTTCACAACAATTCTCTTCCAGTTGTCTTCGTTTAATCGAAAAATCTTCATTTAATTTTTTTATTAAATTTTGTAAACGATAAACTTCATTTGCTAGATCAATTTCACTAATATGATGATTACTTTTTTCTGCAAGATCATTTTTATAATTTAATTCATATTTTAAAAATTTTTGATCATCATTAATATCAATCGCATCTTTTGCAATCACTGAATTTTCTTTCGATGAATATTTAATATTCATTAATTTTTTATTTGTTGCTATACATTTCATAAGATTTAATTCTTGATTATTAAAATGATGTGGTTTATCAAGAATAATTCGATCAACTTGATCTAAGGAAAAAATCGATCTGTGTTTTTGTTTTCTCTTATATCTTTTTCTTTACCATAATCAGCAAATTCAACAAGAATATAATCATAATTTGTTTCGTGACATAATTTACAAGCGTATACAACACCATATGATGAAAAATATTCACGTAAATTTTTTAAATATTCTTCATCAATATCGAGAGAATCACATATAATCATTATGTCACGTATTGAATTCATATGTTCATTTGGATATTCCGGATCAAAAGGTAAAGCACGTTTAACATATCTAAATGAATTAAGATTATAAATAAAATAATGTTGAATAAAAATTTACAAATGTCGACCATCAAGTCGATGTGGTCGATTAGCTATACATCGATCAACACTTTGAGAATTTTCATAACATATAAAAACGTAACCACCGCCAGTTGGTGATGTAAAATTATATTGACTGATAGTACCAAATTGTTCGAAATATGTTCTGAAAATAATTGAAATAATTTGAATTATATTTTTCGAAAATAGTTACTAACAATAATGTATGAGGTTCTGTTTGATAACTAAGACCACCAATACAAATTTCTAAATAAATTGAATCAATATGTCGACGATAGGTAGATACTGAAGACATGATTATCTAAAATTTAATAAGATTAATAAATATATATGAAAAGAAATCAATCGAATAGATAGATTTTAGAATGGCGCTATCAACTGACTAATCGAATGACAGAAGGGAGGCAGCACATGTATACACTTAATCAAAATAGTGATCAGTATTGAGATATTTTATGCGTAATATAAAAAGAAATTATTACCGATGAACAATCCAGATGATAACGAGATATAAGAAGATGTAAATGTAAACTTATCAGCATCGACACCGTAGAAAAACTAATCGGACAATATTTTTCATAGAGCCGATCCAGACAGACAAAATTCAAAAAAACGGAGAAATACGTGTAGAAATTTTAAAATTTTAACGCAGTAGAACGCTTTCTGAAAAATTGCGTAGAAACGCGTTAAGAATTCGTAAAAACGGCGTTTTTCTAAAGATCATACCTGCCTGGGGATGAGTTTTTTATATTATAAAATCTTATGTGAATACTACAGCATTGAACGAAAGACATACTTTTCGTCTATATAAATCATGTTCTAAATCACAAATAAGATTATCTTGTCATTTTTACAAATATCAATTCGCTCGCGCAAGAGTGTCTACATATAATTAAACATTCGGTTCTTTCGACATGCCAAGAGCTGATCGAGAATAGTCGAGTATTTCATACCTTGTTAAATTTGCATGTGATGACCAGTTATATCTATTACTATTAGCGATCATGTTAATCACGCTTCTTTTTCTTTTTTTATACATGAAAGAATGCTTTCATAGATAACATCCTTTCTACTCTCCTATTCTGTTGATACAGTCTCTCGTATATTCAACAACCATCTATTTTCTAGGTACAATGATTCTCACTAATGAAAAAAAAATTTAATATACTACAGTTTTTCTATTGTTCTTGACTAATTAAGTAAATATAAAAACGCATAATAATTATAAATTATTAAAAGAAACAATGAAGTTATATATTTATTAATAACTGTTCAAAATGTATGTTTGTAAAAAAACATATCTGACTGTTGATAACACATAAATAATAAACAATTTAGTTTAAGTTCGTAATCATTTCTAATACATATTGTCGAGCCTCTTCCATTTCATTTATTAATTTATCATATTTAATTGATAATTTTGATAAATCTTTTTTCAATCGTCTATTTTCAGATTTTAATTTAATACATTTTATTTGTAAATTTCGATTAGGACATAATTCATTATTTGTATTTTTTATTATTTGCTTTTCTTGTCCATCAAGTTTTACTCGCATTGAATCAAGTTCTATTTTATATTTATGTAATACTGATGCTGATTCCTCTACTTCATGACAAAGTTTAGATACTTGTTCATTATGACTTCTTGTTAATTGCGTTATTTGTTGTTCATATTCTTCTTTTTGTTCAATAAGTTTACTTTTAAAACGATCGACATTATTATGACCTCGTTCAGATTGTATTGTTTGTATATAAATAGGACATTCTTCTGTGTCGATATACATCTAAAATGATTGAAATGAAGAATATATAAATGAAACTAGAACTACAGAAACAAAATATGGGTATTTTTTTAAACGAACGAACCAGATATGATTAATGTAAAAGAATACCAATCAGTTATTGCCTCATTATTAGAAAAGTACATATTAAGAAAATTTTCTAATTGGTTAATGAAAGAAGAGATGATGAAAAATTTTAGAAACTAAATTGAACTAAAACCAATGTGGAAATATTATCGAGATTCTACCAGATTATAATATAATAGAATATTTAGATCGATCTTGGATCTAAATCCGGTTTTACGAAAGCTATGACATCAAAAAAAAATATTAACAGTATTCATACAGTGGATGAATAAGAATATTTTATGTCATACTAATACTCACGTTTTGATGTAGGATCAGGGAGAGAAATGCAAGATGAAATAATAGTTTATTTCAACTAAGCATGTGTATATATATAGCAACGTGTTGTAATATTCATAGAGAACGGAAAGAACCAAGTATAAAAGGTAAAAAAAGGTGTATACATAGAAAAATCCAATGACGATGTCATTACATCACACTAGTCTAGTCGAATAGTACAATATAAAAACGGTTGGCTCTCAAAAATTTCGGGAGTTTTATAGAAGCCGCATTTTGTTATCGATCATTTATTGTCTTGATAAGATATCGGTCAAATCCTATTACTTTTGACATATGTATAGAGCTCAAATTTAATGATCTGACATGATTTAAAAATTAATATAGCTATATCAGCATTTTCTACTTTATTTTACTTACATTAAAACTGATCGAAAACTTGAACATCAAATTCGATCAATGATTTAATTGATTTTCTTGCTAGAGAATATTGGTACTGCAAAAATGACAGACATATTTCACTCTTCTCAATCAATAATATATTTTGCTTAGATTTTTAAGGGAATATGTTCTGCGGTCAGCAAAATAATTGAAATATCAGTAAATATATTAATTGGTCAGTTTTCAAAAAAATCAGTAAACAATTCAAAAGTGGTCAGTAGATTTTGTGGAAGTAGCAGTGAAAAAATTTGATTTTTGTCAGTAAAAAGAAGAAAAGTAGTACATCTTTGCACAAGTTTATATTTTTTTACTCTCCATTTCATTTTATTTACTGATCGTTTAAATTTTATTATGGACCTATCAAATTAATTACTGACCATTCAATAATTCAACTGATTTTTGAATTTTTTGTTTTACTGACCGTTTCATTTATTCTGCTGACCACTTAAATGACGCCCGATTTTTAATCTCTATGAAATTTGATAAACTAGGTAAAAATATATTTCTTTTACAACAAAAACAATTAGTCAGAGAAGTAAATGTGCTATTCTTCACTTTAGAATTTTTAAGAATGTAGAAGTTTTCAATCAATTAATGTGTTATAAATATTCTTTTGAAGATATTCTCAAATTTTTATACATACAATTATATGAAAAAATTCTCTAGTCAATTAATATTATTAGTACCGATCTTTATACACACACGCACACACATACAGAAAAATATCGAACACAAATAAATACAATCAAATATGAAGCATACTAATAATTTTCTCAATTCTTTGTATAGCCGCATCAAACATCGATATTTTAATTGAAAATAAATCAGGATCATCAATTAAACGAAGACGTTCTAATTGTTCCATAAATTCTTGTCCAATAGCTGAACATTTTAATTCTCGTACTCTTATTTGTGCATCACGATCAAATGAATCATTATCTAATTTTGCATCAATGATTTGTGTTTGTGATCGCTTTAAAATTGCTGCTGGTAATTGTAAATTATTATTATTACTACTATTATGATGTGGTAAACGACGTGGTGATCGATTAACTTCATCATTTATTGCTAAGACTGTTGTTGAACGTGCAAAGCGAAATTCATTTGATTGCGGAGGAAATGAGGGTGGATGTGGTGGCGGCATTTGAGATTTTGTAATGATTTCATTTGTAGGTGGTTCTATCGTATTACTTTTGTCACCAAATAACTAAAAAAGGAGAAATTACAAAAAAAAAAATAATCGAAATTTCTTCGACATACATCGAGAATACGTGTTGTTTGTCGTTGAGTACGATTTGTAGGTCGAACAACATTAACGACTTCATTTTGATCTAATCTTTCAGGAACAAATTGACGTTCATTTAAATTTTCAGCTAAGGGTTCACCCGGCTTGATTTAAAGAAAAAAAAACATATAGAAAAATAGAAAAATAAATTGATAAACTTACATAAAGTCGAACATATTTATATAACCAAATACCAAATGGAACATCGATATTTTTTAAAAGTAATTCATCTACTTCAGATCGTTCAGGAACAACTAAAAATAAATAGGAGATTAAAAAAAAAATATATACGAAGAAAATTCAAACGTACTGAGCCCAGGTCCTGTATAACCAATTCGTCGTTTTTCATCCATTAGATACCGATAATCATAACCAAGACGACTAAATGATAATATTAATTTTGAGTATTATTTGAGAACTAAAATCTTACTCGCATGCTTGTTTAATAGAATAACTGGATGGTAAAGCATTTCATCACCATATTGTTCATGTTGTTTACTAGATAGATGATACAAGATTTTATTAATATACATATACATATGATATCTCTTACTGAACATTTGATTGACGACTAACACCAGTTGATGTCCGACGAGCAGCTGATGGCATTGGTGTATGAGCTTGATTACGTGGAAAAATTGAACTGAAAAATTAATATTAAACACATAAAATCATTAAATTGAATTAATTACGGTCGTGATTGAACAGGTTGATCACGTGTTGCTGAATTTATAGTTGGACGACTTGTTTGACGATGAGCTGTTCTGAAAACAAAACGTACAAATCATTATCTTGTCAACGATAGATAAATATCTTACTTTGCTTGTTGATATGAAGCTGGTGATGGTTGACTAAAATATATAGAGATCAAATTCGATATTTTAGAACAAAATAGAATATACTTACGGTACCACTCGTCGGATTTGATGTTGTTGTTGAGATGAAGGCATAGGTGGTCGAAGACCACTTGGCGCAGGTGGTCGTAAACCACTAGAAAAATACGAAAACTTTTATAATTCAATCTGTCAACAAAGATTGATAAAAAAAACATACGTCGAACGACTTGCTGATGGTGGACGAAGCATAATTAATCAATAAATGTCACTTGAGAAAAACGAATGATGATCGTTGAAGTCTATCTCGAAACAAAGGTCTTTGTCCCATTAAATCGCGCCGTTATAAATTAATCTCAATTTTTTCACAATACAAATTATTTTCAATTGTTTGCATCATTAATATAAATCAATTGAGCTTTTATTCAAGTTAACATAAAAGTACACGAGATAGATGTCAGTATAATACAAAATCTATCGAGGTATTGTCATAGTAATACATACGTAAGATTAAACAAATCAATCAATCAATTAAATATTCTATTAAAAGAAAAGTTAATGTCTCAACCAATTGATTCTCGTATTAATGATTATATAAATGAATATCTTACTTCGAAAGGTTATTCAAATACAGTTAATACATTTTTACAAGAACGACAAGATCATCAAGAACCGATTGATGAAATTAATAATGAAAATTTAGATAAGAAAGAAAAAGAGAAGGAAACATATAATACTATCAAAGTATTTATTTCATGATAAAAATATTCTTTACTTTATTTTTGTTTATCAGGAAAATATGTTAAAACAATTAGATGATGGTAATCGAGAAGAATTCTTTCAACTTTGGTCAGAACATATTCCATCAAATATTGTCAATAATGATTCAACAATGAAATCACTTGAATTTTTAATTTATACACATTTTGCTGTTTATTATTTACGCTCAAATATATCAGATAATGTATATTCTATATAGTTTCATTTCGAATATTTATTTTATATAATTTAGAATGAATTATTAGCTCAAGAAAATATGGAAGTATTTAAAGTATATATTGAATCAATCAGAGGTCGCGCTATATCACAAACAAGTGATTTATTACCTTTATTTGCCTTACCATATGTTACAGAACCAGAAAAACATGCTTCTTTTCAAGAATTATTTTCAGTATGTTTTACAAAAAATGAATACTTTTGATTCTTCTTTCTTTTTTTTCATAGGACGAATGGCCAGTACAATTACGCATAAAAGTATCAAATTTTTTAGATTGGATTTTTTCAAATCGTTCATCACCAAATCTCGTTGAATTATTACAAAATGGTGCACGTGCATCACATGTATTAGTACAATTAAATAATGAAAATGAAGAACTTAAATATCGAAATAGAGAAACAAGTAGACAACTTAAAAATTTAAGTACAGATTATTATAATTTAATTAGTAAGTTGTTCAGATATAAATATATATACATATCTATTTCATTTTAAAGATATTACAATGGAATTAGTTGAAACATTACAACAAGCTATTGTAGGAAAAACTATTACAAACGATTATATTGATAACGTTTGTGCACGTCTTCTTCTAGCAAGAACACAAGAATCAATGTCTAATATGTTAAATTCTTCTCAATTAGGGTAACTATACATATATATTGTAGAGATAGAATCGGTACCGGACGGGCTCCATCTCTGATATGTTGTATTAAAGAAATTAATTGCATAGCGATTTTGTATACTAATCGTGGTTTTCTTTTAATTATAGCACTGATGATCCGTTTATAGAAAAATTAGATTATGGTAAAATAAAGCGAGATATTGTGAGCATATCAACTAGTGCACGTGAAAAAGCTCTTTTACTTCAAGCACTTCGATGGAAATTAACTAAAGCTAAATCAGATTTCCAACGTGAGAAAATGCTTGAAAGTTTTATTGGTTGTGATTTACTTGGATGTCGTTCTGATATTGAACAACAAGCGAAAATTATTAAACAATTATCATCACCAATTGGTAGTGATGCATATTATGTTAAGGAAGAATGGGCTCGTTTAATTAATACGATTGCTTCATTAAGAAAAGGTCGAAATTATTTAGCACCAAATGAATCATTAATTATTTCTATGCAAAAAGCAGCGATTTCTGAAGCATCGGACACACTTATTAAACAACATTTATTAGCTGCACTACAAAAACTTAGTCTTAGGTATAATAAGAGTCTAACTTATATAAAAAAGTTTCTTTTTTTGTTGTTAGACGATCTGTACAAACTATAATGATTAATCAAAATACAATCAAATGGTTAATACCATTATTAAGTCATACTGATCGTCTATCTGATTATACTTTAGGTAAAACATTTTTTAATAGAAATAGTTTATAATTATCTATTCTTAGAGTATGGAGTTGCACTATTGATGAATTTATGTTTACGTACAAATGGTCGTAAAAAATGTGCAGAAATAGCTGAACAAGCAATAACTGTACTATCATCTCTATTGACTCATCCAAATCAAGAAGTTGTTCTATTTTACATATGCAGAATAATTTTTCAATCATTTTTATATATTTAGACTCGACCTTATGTAAACTCTTCACTATATTCAATTTTAACTCTAAAATCTATACGTGATAGAGCTATGAGCCTTGTAAATTTTGTTCTCTACATGAGATTTCTATATAAAAAAATGTTTTTTTTTGTTATAGAATCTTGACAATCATCTACGATCTCTTATTCGAGTTGAAAAAACAAATTCTGAAACGAAAGGTCAATTAGAATTTTTACTCAATCTTTTATTGAAAGGTGGTGATCAAGATGGTAGACAAACATCAGATAATGAACAAGATAATGATGATGTATACTTTTTTTCGTTTTACTCATTTAAATATATTTTCTTCATTTTTAGGAAGATCAAGATATTATGGAAGCTGATTTAGATCTTGCTGATAAATTACGTGCTACAGATAAAGAATTAAGTGGAGATATATTGATTGATGAACATTATATTTCTCAGAAAATACCTCCTAATAATAAATTACAACGTGCAACAACTAATAATATGAAATCTAAATCAACAAATGATCCTGTTCTTCATCGACCAACAACTCCTGGTCACGTACGTCAATCAATGGCTGCACATGCAGTTGATTCTTTAGTTAATAGTCTTGCTATGGATGATTTGTATCGTAGTCATAGTGATGGATTTGATAGTATAATTTATACTGATTCAACAAAAAAAACATTTTTCATCAAATAATGAACCAAGAATCTCAAATAAAGAATAAAAATAATCAGCTTGATAACTTAAACTTATTTATATGTGAAGTAAATAATGATAATTTATACAAAAAAAACATATATATATCATATTTTCCTGTATTTATTATATTTCATACATCTATTATATAGCATTTAACTCATTGCTGAGCGAATGACTTCATTGCAAAGTTCTTCTCGTGCTCGACGACTATCAATTTTTTCTTGATTTTGCTCACGTTGTTGTGCATGTAATTCTAATTGTTTTTTTATATCATTATTTACTCCGCTAAGTTTTTTGTTCATACGAGCAGTAACCTTTTTAGAAAATAAATATTTTAAAACACAATTTATTCAATATTATTTAGTTACTTCAATTTTTTGAGCAAGAGTAACTTCATTGGGAGTAGTAACAAAACTTGTAACTTTTCCTGGCCTTTTCGAACCAATACGACCAACACGACCAGTACGATGAATATAATCAGAAATAAAATGAGGAAATTCAAATTGAATTACGTGCTCAACCTAAATTAAGAAACACAAAAAAAAAAGAAATGAATAGAATATTAAATTAAAAAATCATACCCAATAAGTATCAACACCTCGTGAAATAAGATCAGTAGCACACATTATTGTATTTTCACCATTTCGAAATTTTTCGAGATTATTTGCACGTTTCTAAAAAGAAGAATGGATCAGCATTTTGTCCAGGTTTCTTTTTTCGGGCGTGCAAACTGACCTGCCATGTGGGCGAAATGAAAATTCTGGGTGAACGCTGCCTGACAGTGCTCTGTCTAAGCCTCGTATTTTGAGTGGGCGTCGCTCATTCAGCTCACCCACTTGATTAAACACTGTAAAGATAGGCAATAATCATTTGGCAAAAAAATTGCCTACATTGCTGACGAAACTCATTAGCAAATTTATCTCAATAGAGCTTCTCCTGATGTAATGTATCCACTTATTGAATTGATTAGTTTTGCCGGCAGATTACTATTATGTACATCTTATGTATTTGAAGCAGAAAATCTCGTTCAATATTTTAAAATATAACCTAATTAACCCTTTCAGGACCAGTTCTGCTTTTTATCTTTTTCACAATCAGAGTATTATTCTTAAACTACCTTTTTAACCGCGACCCAAAAAAAAAAATTTTTTAAAAAAAAAGCCTGAACCCCCCTCCAGGGTAGGTGGTACATACGTTGTACCACGGTCCTGAAAGGGTTAACATGTTTACATTGATTTGCATAAGAACTTACAGTATTTGTCATTTGACTATGCATTATAAGAATTTCTATACGTTGATTACGAAAAAATTGTTGAAGAAATTGCACTGTTTTTGTTTTATTACAAAATATTAAACAAGGATGTTTCTTTTCTAAATCATATTTAACTAGTTTCAATAGAAGACCTATGAAATTAAATAATAAATTTAATATTTATAAAATAATAATAATAACAAACTGAGTTTTTGTTGATTCCCAATACGATAAAATTTCTGAGGAACATGTGGCATAATTCGATGTACAGATGGAGTTAACATTTTATTTACTTGATTAGCCTAGTAATTAACAGAGAGAATAAATATTTTTTAATTAGATCAATAGAATTAATACTAACACTAATTAATTCTTTTAAACTTTCTTCAGTTGCTGTAGGTATTGTAGCAGAAACAAAAACAAGTTGAACTGCTGGTGGAGCATCGTGTTCAAGATCATTTATTGGTTGTACATCAATCTATATACTTATTTTTATACTTTTTCTTTTGCTCGAAAACATAGGTATATTACTTACTTCTAAGCGTCGAATAATTTCAACAACAGCAGGACTAAATGTAATATCAAGAAGTGTATCAGCTTCGTCAACAATTACATGTCGAAGATTCGTACCACTTAAACGTCTTTCAATACCAAAATGTTCATCTAAACTAAAGAAGAATATATAAAAATTTATAATAAAATAAAAATAAACCTTGTCTTAAAAGTCGTAATAAAACTCCAGGCGTAGAAATAATAATATCAACTTCGCCGAGTGTAAAATTGAGTGGATCCTATACGAGAAAAATATCTTCAAAAAATTGTAAAGAAAATAAATTACTTTATCTGTATTAATCCCAACTAAACTTTGTGTTCGAATATTTAGTTGATTAAATACTTGTAACATATTCTACAAATGAAATTATTTATATAAAACAATGTATTTTCTTATTGTTCTGTCTTACTTCAATCTGAACAACTAATTCTCGTGTTGGTGCAAGAATAATTGCAAATGGTGCATTTTCCATATGTACTGAACGATTTCCAGATTTCCATCGCATCAATGATTCGATCAATGGTACAAGATATGCTAATGTTTTTCCACCACCTTTTGAAAAGAAGAATTATATTTAAAATAAATAAAAAAATAATTCTTAACCAGTTTCAGCTGCTACAATCATATGTCGACCTGTTCGTAATTCTGGAATAACACGTGATTGAGTTGAAGTAGGATTATGAATATTAGCTTTTTCAAGAATTTCTACAAGTTCTGGTTTACAATCGAGTTGGTCAAATGTCTGTACAGTTGATTGTGTCCATGATGGATTTTTAAAGTGATGATCAATAGTAAAAAAATCACCTTTTGATAATCGATGTTGCCAAGCACTAGACGCAACATCTTTATCAGTCATATGACGATATTCACGTCCTACAAAAAAAAGAAAAGAAAATAGAAACACAGTTTTTCACTTTTCTCTCTCTGATGAATTCAAAAGAAAAAGGAGTAACGAAGGAATTGTGCCATGAATATTCTGCTAAAGATGGAGCGCAATCACTTGACCGACAATCACTTTGCCGACATATCACTTAGCCGAAAGATTGTTTTGCCGGGTGTATGTGTGTGTGTGTGTGTGTGTGTGTGTGTGTAGGTATGGATGTCAGTGTGGGTGAGTGTGGGTGTGTTCTATTTTAGATATTCCCACACTCTCACCCTCAAGTTTTTGTCGGCAAAACAATCTTTCGGCCCAGTGGGGTCAGCCAAGTGATATGTCGACAAAATGATTGTCGGCCAAGTGTAGCGGACCCCTAAAGATAGATTAATTTGATTTACCTGGATAATGATTGAATTCAGAACGTTTACAAGCGACAACTGCTGGTTGAGTTCGATCCTATTCATATCAAATGTATATATATGGATGATATTCGTCATTATCAACTCACTCCTGGTGGATCTTGATCTTGCTCTTTCTTATAAATTTTCTTTGCTCGTTGTCGTTCAATATTTTTAATCATTGAATGTGGTACAGTTATTTGATTTTTTGTATCAATTGTATTCTTTTATTTAATGAAATAAATTTTTTCCGATAGAATTCAAAGAAATTATAACTTACAATATGATATGATGCTATTTTCATTAGACATGAATAATTCTTATTTGTTATTAAAGTTGAAAATAATCGTCGATAGGAGACAATCATTTTTTTTTCGAATATAAATAACAATCTGAAATAACAATTTCTTTTATTGTAACAAAGAAAACAAAAAAACATTAAATTAACAAAAACAATTCTAGAACATGTTTACGTAATTTTTCTTCGATATTTTCAACAATACGTAATTTAACTTTATTTAATTGACCTGTATTATAAATACGATAGATTTGAAATTGTTGATTTATATCTGACAATGAACAACAATATTGTAATTCATTAAATGTTATTGGTATTAATTGACGATTATGACTTAATGTACTTTTGACTTCAATATAAATTGTACGTTTTGTTTCAAGATTTTTAATTATAAAATCATATGGTTTTCCTTGTTCGAAATTTTCATTTAACCATTGAATTTCTATTTCATTTGATTGAATTTTATCAAGATATTTTGTATGAAGATATTCTTTAACCCATTGTTCACCTAAAAAAATTGATTAAATAATTTAGTTAAATAAAAATATGTTTTATACCCCAGCGACCAATTTTATCCAATGATACTTGATCCGAACCAATAGTTGAATCACGATTATCAAGTACCTGATGAGTTAGATCGTCGATATTAAATTTTTTAGTAAGTTGTTCAAGATTTTCATAGGGTGTTTCAACAATTGATGACAAACCACCTGAACGAATATTATCAAATCGAGAAATAATGCTATTCGATGGATCTAAAAAATATATAACCATTTAAACATAAATTATCAAGTTTTAATAACTATTTCATATGGGTAAATTCCACCTTCGCCGTGTGAATTTCTCACTGAAAGCCCATATAAACTGTATATAATCGATCTTATAGGCAATAATTATATATTGAATAGTTAGTCCATCTTAGCAAGTCAATTGATCTCCAAGTTAGAGGGTTACCAACTGACATGGCTACTATCTCAAATGGATGTGGGTGTCAGAGTAAGGCTAATGCAATGCCCACACCCGCACCCACACCCACATCTTGATTTGGTGTTATAGACTAATTACCCAAAACACAATTGTTGCCTATAGGATCGATTCGGTAAATTCAATTCTCAGCGAACTTCTTTAGGAGAAAATTAGTTTTCGGCGAAGGTGGACTAAATGTTTCATATGATACTAAAATTATGTCGATCTATGTTATGATAGCTATTCAATTAAATGACGTATGATGTTAGTATGAATTACATATTTTATTCTTTACCGGAATTAGTTTGATGTTCAGTTGATGTTGTTGAAATTTCGGTGAGATTTTTTTGAAATTCTTGTCGTTTTTTTTTGTTTATAAGCATTGTATTGTTCTTGATTTTGTGCAACATTTTCAAGTAATGTTCGAACTTTATTTTCATCTAAATATTTTTTGAATTTTTTTCAACAATTAAAAAAAAGAATTTCTTACCAATTTTTGGTTCATAACATTTGATTTGTGTAGATGTTGATGGTATTTCCCATGGAATATCATCTGAATCTTTAAATTCTAAATCAAATTGTTGATATTTAGCAAATATTTCAAGATTATTTTCTTCTTCATTATATAATAAATTCATAAAATTGCCTAATGAACGTGTTAATTCATTATTATGATTTGGTATAAATATTCGTGCAAATGAATGAAATATATCTCGATAATATTTTGAATATTCAATCCATTCTCGATGAACATAAAAAATCATTTGATTTTCATTATAATAAGATTTTTCTTCTTGAATTATACAAATTGATGAATTAGATTTCATTCGATAAATTAATTGAAGATAATCAACAATATTAAATTGAATATTTAAAAGAACTGATGACATATTAATAGATTTTGTCCATTGATATGCTTGAGAAAATTCTGAACGAGATTTCATATATAATTGTATATAAGGAATAAGTGGTGAAAGTAAATTTTTAACAGTAATTCCATCCGATGAATTTTCAATAATATGTTCAATTGTTATTGATGATGAAAGAGATTTTATATCGCATAGATGAAAAAATGCTAAAACTAAGTAAAACAAGGAAAAAAGAATGATACAATTCTAAATGAATTTATGATACGTACTATCAGATGATGGTATATCAATTAATGGGAGATTATTTATTTGAGTAAATAATTGAGCAATATCATCATTATCGGATATCAATGGATTATCATTTAGACATACCCAACGATGATCTCGTGTTGGAAAAATTGATTTATGAGATAGTTTATCTAAATAAAGTCCAAATTATATATATGGACCAAATTCATTTGACTTCAATTTTTTAATAAGGATATCCCAAGAGATATACAACAGAGACTTCAAGCCTGAAGTCTCATGAAGTCTTCCGAAATCTTTAAAATCTTTTGAAGTCTTTCGAAAAACTAAAGTCTCGCTTGTTGGAGTCTCTTGAAGTCTTTAAAATCTTGAAGTCCGCTGTTTCCCCCTTAGGAAGCCTCTTCTGAACAAATTCTCTTAGCAGAGATAAATATTACTCTTTCAGCTGTTACTTAATTAAAATTAATTAACTAATCAGTAATTAGTGAATACCGGTCGATTCAATGCCAAAAATTCTTCTCATAAAAATGGGCCTCTAAGAGATTTCATCAAGATCCAGAACAAAAATGTCTGTCTTATCATTATCTCAAGGTACTGAGGAAAAGTTCATATCTTTTTGAATTCTTCTAATAGTTTTCATTCAAATACAAGAGCAGTTTTTCTAGTGATATTTCCTCTCAACTAAGATCTCTAGAGCTGATTCTTTTATGATATCTAGAGTAACAAAGCTTAATTTACTTTGTAAATCTTGTTTTTCTATGAACTGATTTGATTGTTCGCACCATTTTCCAAGAATTTTAAAGATAGAAAATGCATCTTGTACAGTTTCTTCTGTTGTTTCCAATGAGGCAATATGAACTGAAATAAAATATATATTTAATTTCAAATTCAGATTATTATATCTTTACCTAATAAACTAATATATTCTTCAACTGTTGGATTTAATGAAATGGCAAAAGTATCAAGAAATATTGTTTTTTGTTCAGTATAATAAGGTTCAATTATAAAACGAGAATTTGTTTTGAATGATGACGAATATTTAATAAAAAGATTCGTTGAATCTGACCAACAAACTTCTGATAAAGAAACAAATCTTCCACGAATAATATTTTTACCCTCTACTGATGAATCAATAGGTACAAAGAAAATAGGTTTGGTATTAATTAAATCTTGTAATTCATTTCTACTCATATTTTGATAAATATAATTATAAATATTTTGCATATGAGATAGAGAAGTATAGAAAATTGATTTTTCACACCAATGAATTAACATTGAAATAACATCATCTAATGTACTATGTTCAATTAAACCTAGATCATTTGCAAATGATGAATTTGAATCAATCTCAACATCGACATAAGTAACATGTTGTTCAAAGAGTTTTTGAATTTGTTTGGTTTTTATATAAATATTATTTGATTGATTTAATTTACAAATTTTATTTATTTCAATTTGATCTATTTGTTCATTGTATGAATAAGACATTTGAATTGTTGGTATCCATATAGAATCTTTCAAATGTTTAAGAAATAGTTCAGTTTCTTTTGTTATCATCCAATTTTCCTGTAAAATTGTGAAAAGTCGTTTATTAATTGATATTGATTGAATATTAATTAAAGAATCAAATTGTTCATATGTCCAATTATTAATTGGAAATAGAAAATCAGAAACACCTAATTCAGAAAAAAATTGATGTAATTTTTTTCGTTCACTTGATGAGGAAATATTCATAATATATTCATCACTAAGTAATATCCAATTGTAGGTACTAAAATCTTTCGATAAATCATACGGATTACCATATTTTGGTGTAAAATGAATGGAAGTTTGAGTTGGTTGTTGAAAATTTTTATTTGTTAATAATTGTATAATTGATTTTAATCGAGACATATCAATGTAATGTTTCTATAAGAACAAGAATTCTTTCAATAGTATAGAGAGATTTAGAAAGGCTCGAAAAAGAGTATACTTCACAGGAGCATAGCTAGGGGGTGTGCAAAGGGTGTACATGCATACCTCTTTGAAAACAAGTATCTGTAGGGAAGTACGACAATAATTTTTCCACATGAAACAAAAACTATTTTCCTGCAGCTGTTCACATCGCTTGGTAAGTCGAGCATACCTCTTAGCAAACTCCTGGCTATGCCCCTCATTCTTCATGAAATAAGAAATACATAACGAAACAGAGTTTTACAAACAGTATTATAACGTTTGGTCTCGTCTGAGAGTAAATAAACTGATTTAGCAGACTAGAATGCTAATGAAGAATTACTTTCTAACAAAGATGAGCGAATTTTAAGTTGTCTCCATTGTGATTCTAATCACACTACTAAAAAACATTGTTTTATCCAGCGAGTGGACTGAGTGAGCGTCGTCTACCCTAAAATTCGATTCGCCCATTCTGAAAATGAAACCTAGATAAAACACTACTGAAAAACGTGACCTGATCTCGATACTAAACTTTCACGTGATTTATAACATTAACTAAACTTAAACAGTTTGGATTTTATGCATGTCTAATTATGCACAATGCAATTTAGTTTGGTAATATTAAATATATTTCTATAATTTTACCTGTTTCGACCATAGATCAAAAATATACATAACATAAGCAATAAGAATTTCTGTTGTTTTTTCTTTACATAACTGTTCATTTTCAAAAACTGGATATATATGTTGTTCACAAATAATTCTATGTGTTAAACGTTGTATACCGAGTCGTTCAAGTAATGTTTGTATTTGAATTCTTTCAAGTGAATTTTCTTCAAAATTCATCCATAATTCTTCATCAATAATTAATAAATCATTTTCAATTAATTTTGATAGATGAATATTATTTGATGGAAAAAATATTGTTTGATTAATATTATTTAATGAAATAAATTCTCGACGATTTTTTAATGGAAAAATTTTTAATAATTGTATATGTTTCAAAACTGTTTGTTCATCAGTTAAAGAAAGTTCATTTAAACATCGATATAAACATGAAAACCATTTTGATAGAATTTGTTTATTTTCAAATGTTATCTCACTTGTAAACATCTGTTTAATAACATCAATTAATTCATTATGACCGAGACGATGTACACCAAGTTCATATAATTGTTTTTCATGTTCATATAAATCATCTTTTAAATAATATAAATTCAAATGATTATATAAAATTTCAGGTGTTAAAATTTCTTTAATAGTAGAATCATGTATAAGTACACATTCATTTGGCATATGAAGATTTGTATCATTAATAACAGATAGAAATTGTCGAGAACGTAATGAATGAAGAATTGTTCGGCAAACTGGTGTAAACAAATTATTACTATAAACTGAAGTTTCATTTGGAAGAAAATAAAGAAAAAAACGAAGAGGATCAATTGGTAAACATGATTTTTCTGCATGAAAAAGATCAAGTGAGCCAAGAAAGAGAGATGGAATTTCATTAAGAAGAAATTGATTCCATATACTATCACTTAATATATCTTGACGTGATGATGGAACCTAAAATAATCAATAATTAAGATTTAGAATTGCTATTGGAATTTTATAAAAAGGCAGTCAGGCAAAATAACGAAAACAGTTAGAATTCTATGTAGGGAGCTGCGGGTCAACCCAGACCCGACCGAGTAAGGGCATGGGTCTAACCAAATTCTTTTTCTCGGATCTGGATCGAGTATGGGTCTAATGGATTCTTGTCTTCTCGGGTTTGGGTCGGGTCCGGACTCAAAAAGCTGTGGACCTGCAGCTCTCTAATTTTGTTCCGTTTTGTTATTCGAGATAAGGAAACACTATACGCATTTTGACTGACTGCCTTTGATAGTAGTTATTTTACCTCGAAATCAGCTTGTATGATGAATGTAAAACCGAACTAAAAAAAATGAATTAGATTTTCAATATATAATAATTTATTATTTACCGTTCTCAATGGTAAGTAAGCGTATACATCTTGTTTAATTAATTTAATTTCTCCATTATTTTTAATTTCATGTAAAGGAAATGCTAATGCTATTTCAGTTACTTCAATAATATTATCTAAACTTGTTTTAATTTCTTCGGGAATAATTAATTGCTTTTTAATAACAAACCATTTTTCAATCATTTGTCCACAATGTATTTCAACAATACTCGTTCCTGGAATATCAAATCTTTCATAAATATGTTTTGATTGTGTTAAACGATTATCAATTATTACTGAACGAAGACGATTTAGAAAAAGTAAAAGTGATGGATGAATATCATTAAAACTTTCAGTTAATGAACGTGATTTATGTTTTTGCATTTCATTTTCTGATTTCAATGGTAAACATATACGAGTTGTCCAATTTAAATATTCATTATCTTTACATTCAGTTGATAACCAATTGGGTAATATATATCCTATAGAACCATTATGTGCATCAAAACAAATTTGATAACCATTTGAATAAATTTCCGGATGATCACTAAGAGAAAAAAGTCAGTTTTTTTCTTATTGATAGAAATAACTTACCAAACAGTAAAAACAGATTTAAAACCAATACCTTTTTGTCCAATATAACCATATTGATGTTTACCTTTTGTTGATTTACCAATATCACATAATGCTTGAATATTATTTTCTTGAAAACCTAATTCATTATTATAAATATTAATTGAATTTGTATCAATAACAAAAATTAATGTTGGTTTTGTATTATATTGATTATCATCAGCATTTTGAATTAATTCAAGAACAAAATGCATATCAGTATTATATAATTCTTTGGAAAGACGTTCTAATGATCGACCAACAAGTGATTTCAATTGATTAGTTAAACATTGACCTTCATCAGAAAGATTTAAACCAATACCGAATTTTTCTCGACGAATTTGTTCAATTACATCATAAGGATTATTACCAGATAATATTGGTTCAGTTTTTGAAATAACTGACGAAGATTCAATGGATGGAATGATTGACAGTGATTGTTTTTCTCGTGGAATTTTAATGGATGATGAATGAATTTTTCTATTATCTAATGACCATTCACTAAAACCAAGTTGTTGTCCTAATTGAATAAATCGTATGATCATATTTGAATCTTGTTTATCGATTATTGTCCAGAATGTTTCACGTACTTTCATTTGACTACCTTCAAGTGTAACTAATGGTTCGAGAAAAACTCGTTGAATAATTGATGATAGAAGAAGATATGGTATTCGTACGAATATACGTGCAAGAAAATGATATAATTGGCTATCAGATGATATACTCAAGAAAAACGTATGTACGATATTAGACAGAAGAGATAATGGAGCATTCTGTAATGAATTATGTTGAACAAGAATTGAAACAAGATGTCCAGAAGTTAAGATTGAATCATAATTATAAAGAGATTCTTTGAACATGTCAAGTGTAGAATTCGAAGATAATTTTAGAAGCGTAACATGATCAATTTCAAGTATTGAAATTGAATGCTGTACTAGAAATGATTTTAATTTACCTAATATTGGACGAAAATGTAAATTCCATTGAATATCAGTATGTAAATTTCCAAGAAGTGGACATTGATTAATCGCTTGTAACGCTTGTTTTTCAAGATCTAAATAAATATAAATTTTCAAAACTTGATATTCTAAGAGCATGATAAGATATTTTCTCAGGTTCAATTCACTTATATCAAGCAAAATTAATGCGTTAATCTCAACTCTTTTGAAATATTCCTAACGTACATTAATTGACGTTCTATTATTCAAGCAAGGTGGGCTTTAAAGAGGGTCTGGCGGGACCGATTTTTTTATCCCGATCCCGGCAAAATATCTTTTCGGGATTTTTGATGCCGTTACCATTTTCTGTGGGTATAATCCTTCCAGACTTATGACCCATTAATGTATTTACTCGGTATTCTTTAGTTCCTATTCCGCTTTAAACAATATATACTAGAGAGTATCTTCTATATTTATTTAGATTTATGATTTTAAAATTCTGTACCTTCTATGGATGGCTTTGTTGTGTATTTAATTATCGGTAATTCATCTAACATAAGACATTCATAATGAATCGAAGTATGATGTAATTTTTTCTTTTGTTTAATCGAATTAAATAACGCATGAAAAGTACCATGACCAAGTTGTTCAAATGATTCAATTTGAAAATGATAACAAATCATCTGTTCTATGTTTTGTTGATCGGTTGATTTATTGAATGTTTGAAGAATAAATTGTTCAATATCTTCATAAGGAATTGTCGTTATTGAATTATTATTATTCTCGTGAAATTTTGATGAAAATAATTCAAATTTAATATTTACAGGAAATAATAATTGTTCATTTCGTTGTATATAATCAATAAAAGCCCCCTGGCCTAAATCATGAAAATTCTTAACTTGAAATTTTTCACATAAACGTTGTTCAATTCGATATAATAAATTAAATGTAATTTGTTTCAATGAATTTATCTGTTCTTTAAATTCTTGAAGAATATCTTTTTCATCTGGATAATTAATTATTCGTTCACTGGATTTTATTTTCGGTTTTACTTCTATTTCAATATCACTATCCGACGAAGAATTAAAATATATCTTCTTGCTTATAGTACGATCAGTTTTAGATGCTGGTTTATCAGGTGGTGGTGGTGGTACTGTTAAATTACCATGACAAAGAGCTATTTGAAATATATTTTTTAACATAGAATCTTTCGTAATTATTTGCAATGCATGTGAGATCTTTCGAAATGACGAACAACCTATAAATATTGTATTTTTAAACAATATAAAATTTTTGTCAACATACTTTGACAAAGGTCACGACAGATTTCAATAAGATCATTAATAATATCAATTGGATCCATTGATGCATAAACTTGCCGTTGTTTATCATTAATAGTTTTTAAAATTTTTTCCACTTCTTTTTTGTGCAAGTTCATTTAATGTTTGATTTAATTCTGTTCGTGCTATTTCCATTGTTTTACGTTGATTTGCTTGCATCGCTTTAATACACTAAAAAAAAACGGAAATTTTTCGAAATTGAATTCGCTTTAAACTTACATTTCTTGCTAAATAGACACTTTTTATTCTAATACCTAATTGATAGATATTTTTGACATGAACTTGTTCAGCTATAAATTTTAAAAAATGTTCAAGATTCAATTCATTTTCGGTTTTCCATGCATATTCTTTAGTCATAAATTGATCAAGATATTTTAATATATCAGAACTTTTGAAATCTTTCTTTATTTGTTCATTTCGAATTGATCGTAAACGAAATAATTCTTCGATTTTCGGTTGTTTTTCTATTGGACCAATTAATAATTCATTATAATCTGTTTTATAGAATATACGAGCTAAATCAATTTCGATTTCATTCAATGTACCCATTGTTGACCAATATGTATAAGCATCAAGATACGTATTGATTTTATTTTGTGTTCGGATGAGATTATCAACACATGGGATTTGATCAGCACGTTGAATACCTAAATTACCAAGATCTTGTACATGAAAATGAGTTAGAATACGCCAGATAATATCATTCCATCGTACTAATTGTCCTTCGTCATGAAGAAGAACGATTTGTTTAGCAGCTATTTCATTAATATGCTAAATAGAAAATGAGTAGGGATGTTTACGATGTGTAGTAGTTACTTGTAAAGGAATTCGTTGTGTAATATGATTTGTTTGAGCTGTAAATGGAATGTTATTTGGTGTTGATGGGAAAGATGAACGAAGTGAAAGTTCTAATGGATCTGTATTGGTACTTGAATCAAGTTTGATTTTATTTGAATTACATTTTTTCTGAGTTGTTGGAATAATAATAATAGGTTCAGATACATCTGAATCTGAACTACTTGATGAAAAAGTAATACGACTACGTTTTGATACAGATGAAGAAGAAGCTAAACAAGCAAAATTGAGATAAATAAGAAAAATATGAAATTTTACATTTCTGTTTAGATGATGAAGATTGTTCAAATATTCGTTTATTAGTTTTTTGTGAGTCCGATTGTGATGAATACTGTTCAATAAGATGACTTAATTTTTTAACATAAATTTGCCAAGGAGCACAATCAAGTTCAAATTGATGTTTAAGTTGATTTATTCGTTTATCATAATCATCTTTTGTTAGACTACTATTATGAAAAGAATTATCAAGTTTATTTTGTTGAGATACAAAAGTTAATTTAGTTGTTTTAATTGCTGTTTCAGCGAATTCTAAACCTTGCTTGGCTGCAGTAAATTGTTGATTATTGAGAAGAGATGTTTGTTTGACTCTAAATATAAGAGAACTGAATTGAAATGAAATGTAAAATAGTATTCTTACAATTCAGAAACGGTTGATAAACCAGCATTACTCGACATACTGATATTTTCACAGGCAAAACGTTTCAATTGAGCGAAAATATCACAGATTTTCGAGTTTTAGTGAGAAAATTGTACGAAAAAGAAGAGAAAGATATGATTGGATTAATAATTGTTTAATCAATATGTATGAGAGAGGTCGTCAGATACCAACAGTATATCTACTTTTCTTTTCCCAAGATCGACCATACAATGAAACTTGTATGCAAATTCTTTATCTACATATAGAGAACGAAAAAAAAATCTTCACTATATTATTCCGTATAACAGAATTGTTCCATTCAATTTCTTTGCAACGTCATTTATGAAGACATCTTAATATACTAAAATCTACTGACTGAAGATAAAAAAGATTCTTTTTGTATTGTACATCGATGAAATTGTATGGTAATATTATAAAACATTTGTCTTGGTATTCAATTATATTATAATCGTAAATTTGTACAAAAAAACAAAGACTTTCGTATTTTATTTTTTCTGTTTTACATAAAAATATAAGTAAAATAAATAAAAAATTATTGTTTAACGTTCCCCACCCCGTTCCATCTCTCAAAAAAACAAGTGCAGATCTCGGATCATTCAAATGGCCTAAAATTTTCAGCTGTGTATCATCACGTTTGACCGAGATATTTTTCTTTTGATTATAGTAAATGAGTCTTATACATTTATCTCTATTTCGGAAATTGACGTATTTTGAGAGATGAGGAGGTGGGCTTAAAAAAAACAAATGATCCTATGAGATACTATATTCTGATACTCAAAATAAATTTTCAATTTTTTCATCAGTTTTATTCTGTACATTCCCTGTTTTTCGATCCCATAACCATTTATGATATCCATTATTAACATCACACTTTTGCATTTGAATATGTTTATTAGCAGTTAATGCCAAACACGAATCCGATGTTGGATGATATATTTGATTGTTCTAGAAAGACGATAAATAGTTTATTATTACAAAATTCTCTCTTAATGCTTCATCTGAATAGAAAACAAACCTTATTATAAATCCAACTTTGATTTCCTCTTTGTCCATGGCATCGTTCAATAAGTACTTTATCATCTTTATCCATATTCAATTTACCACCTCCATATTCTAAACATCCATCATCTCGACGAATTTCACCAGCTGGATTTAATAGAAAAAACTAAAAAAGAACACAAAAAGATTTATTCAATATAAACAAATAATTTTCATATGTACTTGATTACCACCTTGATCATGACATGGAAAAGTTCCTAATGGTTTTTTAAAACTTTTATGTTCAGCATTTACATCGAGGCAGGTACTTTGCCCTAGACTTTCAATCTAAACAAATGCAATGTAACAACTGTATTCTTATCGAAAGAAAACGAGTGGGTAATTTGATCTAGTATTAAATACATACATCACCCAAAGCTATTGCATCATCTGGCACGTATAACTCAGGATAAACTTCAGTTAAATACCATTTAAACGATTTACATTGCAATTTGTGTCGAAGTAATTTACGTGCACTAACATCACCATACGTTTCCTAAATCAATGAAAATAGATAATTAATATTCTCTTATCGAAAGAAATAGAAGAATAGTTATTACCGGTTTAAAATTAAATCTCTCGTAAAAATATTCCTAAATTAAAATCTAATATAATTCTTCATTGAAAATAAGTATAGTTTCTCTATTTTATACTTTATATTCATCAAGCCAAACTTCAGCAAGACGAATAGCATTTTTTTGAACAACATTTGTTCCAGGTACGAATTTATAAGGAGATGTAGCACGAAATATATGACCAACACGAGAACAAGGAGCAGTTAATAGAGTACCTATATTAAGAAAATTAATAAAGAAAATAGAATTTTTAATTTATTAACCTCCACACATCCATATTCGAAAAGATAATTCCAGATTTTCACCACCCCATATTTCCATACCAGCATCATCTGTAAATAAAACAATAATAGTCTTAAATGATACTAGAAAATAGATTATGAAATTTTAACTTACATGTTCCTAATTCATAGAAATAACTTGTACTAATAGCAAAAAGCCCACCAGCCATAGTTGGTGATCTAGCTGGTTCTAAATGATGTTTTCGCTTTTTTTGATCTCTTTCAGATAAGCTATGCCAACTAAAATGTAAATTCCAATCAAAACCACCAACACCTACTGGATCAAGTTTCGAGGCAATATATTTAAATGATGTATCGTCAATACTATCAATAATAGGTGTTACAATAATTGTACGATTTCGTGATATGGGATCAAGTAATGGTTCAAGCCAACCTTGTGTAACTTCAATATGTGAATCAAGATATATTAGAACATCACTTTTAACAACGTCTGCACCTGCTAATCGTGCACGTATTAAACCTTCACGTTTTTTTAGTCGAATTATTGAAACAATTTTTAATTTTTTTATGTAATCATCTAATGGTTTTTTTAATTGTGCTATTACAAGAAAAAAATAATTTTTCATTCAAATAAAAAAAATATGTATATTACCCATATCAGAAAAATCATCAACAAGAATAATTTCTTTTAATAAATGTAAAGGAGTACGATTAATAATTGAATGTAATGATCGTAATAATGTTGACCATGCTTCATTATGAAAACACATTACAATACTTGCTGTTATATTTGGTATTTTATATTCAATCTGCTGACAACCTGGATCACGAACATCAGGTAGATTACGATCTATTGCTATTAAATCACTAACATATTCATTAAACGAATGTTTTTTAAATCCTTCCTTATATTTTCGAAGTTGATCTGATTTTAATTGATTTGGATCTATTTCAACTGCTGTACCCATTTCACCAGGTGCATTTGCACCAGATATTTCTTCGTCAACATGTGGTGCTACTAATTTTCCTTCTCTATGAATTTGTCTAAATTTTGATCCAATTTTTTTTAGTTGTCGAACAAAATTAAACGCATTATTCGATTTATTCTTATATACTATAGGTTCATTAACGATTTCATTTTGATTATCGGACGTACCTTTACTTAAATAATTTGATTTTAAAATAATAAGAGCAATAAGAAACCATACGACAGGTATGCAAAAAGTTATACGAAATATATAACGACGTTTTAGTATCGACATATTATATATTTTTAATTGTTAATATTATTTATCATAGCCATTCTTTTAATTAAAATATAACAAGAAATTAGTATCTGAAAAGACTTTGTGTCATGAATAAATAAAAAGAAACTTATGAATAGTATATTTATGTATGCTATTCCTTACCTTCACTCGTTCTCAATTCATACCGAAATAACCTAGGTGTGATATACACATTTTGCACGTGTCTATATATTCGATTTTATACTAACCATCATCTATTTAATAATTGCACGAAAATGAACAGAGAAGAAAAATGTGTTATGGATGATTGCTTTCTATCTTTTTTTTCTTCGTTGTCTCATGACATAACAAGGATATATGCTGTCATAATATTTGAAAAACAAAATCAATAAAAAGCTTTTGATTTTGACTCATTCATCTCATCATCGCAAATTTACTTGAAGTACATTTTTTTAAACAAAATTAATCTATCATATGGATAGTTGAGAAGAAAATATTATCTATGAATTTTTCTTTTTTTATTTTCATAGAGCAATTAATCAATAAAACGAGAGATTCATTAAATATATTAATAAAATAACAACAAGAAATAGTTTTTTTTTTATTTTTCGTTTTTATGCAATATCTTGACGTTTGGGTGGTCGCATCATGGAATTTCGAACAATACAATCTTTCATCCAATTAATTGATTCATTTATTCCATCACCTGATAAAGCTGAACATGCTAGAACCATACAATCACGTACACCAATTTTTGATGTTGAACGATTAAATGTACGTTTTATTTCTGGTACATTCATACATTCTTCAATATCTTGTTTATTGCATGAAACTAATAATGGTACATTTGTTAATTGTTCTGATTGAATCATTTTATCGAATATTAACCATGATTCTTCTAAACGTTCACGATCAGCACTATCTATTATATAAATAATACCATGACAATCAGCATAATATTTATCCCATAAAGATTGTAATTCTTCTTGTCCACCTAAATCCCAAAAATTAAGACGAATATTTCCAATATCAATAGTACCAATATTACAACCGACAGTTGTAGTTATTTTTGATGGATTCATCATTTTATAATTGGGACAATATTTCGTTTTTGTTTGTTCAAGATATGTCGTCTTTCCGGCATTATCAAGACCAACAATAAGAATATAATAATCATCTTTTTGTGTTAAATATTGGTATAATCCTGTTAATAATGTCCACATTGTCAAAGTTTACTGTTTTCGTTTATCTCTATCTGATCCGATTCCGGTATATATTTTTCTTTTTACATGAGTAGTTTAAATATTGCTTCAAACAAATCAAATTAAGTAACAATAGATGTCACTTGAATATGATTATTAATGCGATGCGAAGCAAAGTATTTCTTCCTTCGACGTATGAAAAGTTATTATTTTATGTTGCACTGATCTCTGCAATAGAAAATCAGAAAGTATTCGTTTATGAATCACCATAAAACTTAACCAATAAATATTGAAATCTTTTTAGATGAGCAGAACTACATTTATAAGTTGAGTTCGTAACAAATAATTATTTTGTTACAAATATTGTTGTCTGCTATAAACCATAAAAGGAACAAACTGATTTCCATAGTAGAGATCAACTAGAAATCAGCCTGTTCCCCCTTGCGCATCTCACTTGGATTCATATTCGTCGGAGACTAAAGTTGACAGCACTTCTCGACACACCAACACCTTTTTAGCTTGATTATGCGAAAGTTTGTGGAATTGTATAGTATCATTTGAGATAGTTTTCATGTATATACGTTGTGATGAATACAAGTTTAATTTTTAGTTTCAATAAGAAGAGATTTAATAATAATTTTTCTATCTGGACAATTTAAGAGTCATGACAGAAATGGAATTGGGTTTCATAATAGCACTATCTTTTCATGTCTGACTCTAAACTTCTCATAGATTTTTCTCTCTGAAGAAATGAAATCCGAAGATATTTAGAATTCATGTAGCAGTAACATTGAATGACTTTGATTATCGTCAAAGCAGACGCTATTTCAGTAGAGATAATGCCTGATGAATGGAATATTAAGCATCTCTAAGTCTTATTTAACTAGTGGCTATCGGCAAACTACTAAAACTGTGGCAGGACCCCTTGTACCACTATTACTGAAGAGATCATCGCAGAGTTTTGGTATTATCACAGAGAACCGTTATCGTTCGTCGGTATCCGTAACAATTTTTCAGGGTTCTCTCACTATATTATAAAATCTTTTCTGATTCAATCCCGCTAAAAGAACCTTTAGGAGTTTTAATATTGTTATAGAAAACCCGAAGCTTAATTTTGCATCAGTTGCACACTCACCACATAGTTTTGCAGAAAAATCTATACTGTACGAGCACTATCATTCCCCATATCAAATACCAAAAACACTAAGCGAACATTAATAACACAGTATGTATTCGTTTCAAAAGCAATTTTATTTCTTGTTTTAGTCAAAAAATCGTAACACAAAAAAATATACTCGCATGATCATCAGTAGCAATTTATTCCACATCGAAATACAATTTATAGCGTCGCTCAGTTTTTCTCCATTTTTATTCCGCCCAAGTAATTCTGCGATTACACGCCTTGCATCAGCCCCAATTTCATTTCCAGTGAGATCTAGTATCAAGAGTGTCTAGATGAAAAACTGAAGGTAAAAGCATGGTATAGATAAACAGAGAATGAGAGTTACCGTGTTGTGTCTTAATGCATCACCCAAAAATTGTGCTCCAATATGTCCGATTTTATTCTCTCCGAGATTTAGTGTGATGAGTGACTAGGTGAAAAAGTGAACGTAAAGACATGGTATAGATAAAGAGAGAATGAGAGTTACTTTATTGTGTCGTAACGCATCTCCCAAGGATTGTGCTCCAATACCTCCGATTTTATTACCGTGGAGATCTAGTGTGTTAAGTACCTAGACGAAAAAGTGGAGGTGAAAACATGCTATAGATAAAAAGAGAATGAGAGTTACTTTGTTATGTCGTAATGCATCACCCAAGAGTAGTGCTCCAACGTCTCCGATTTGATTAGACCCGAGGTTTAGTATGGTTAGTGTCTATATGAAAAAGTGGAGGTGAAGACATGGTATATATAGAGAGAAGGTGAGGATTACTATATTGTTTCGAAGCGTATCACCCAAGTGTTGTGCTCCGATATTTCCAATTTTATTTGACCAGAGATGTAGTGTCATGAGTGTCTAAATGAAAAACTGAAGGTAAAAGCATGGTACAGATAAAGAAAGAATGAAAGTTACTGTGTTGTGTTGTAATGCATCACCCAAAAATTGTGCTCCAACATCTCTGATTTTATTATTCCAAAGATAAAGTGTGGTGAGTTTCTAGATGAAAAAGGGAGGTAAAAACATGCTATAGATAAAGATGAAAATAAGAATTACTTTGTTGTGTCGTAACGCATCTCCCAAGGCTTGTGCTCCAATAACTCCAATTTCATTCGACGAAAGATTTAGTGTCGTGAGTGCCGAGATAAAAAAAATGAAGGGAAAGAGATGCTATGGATATAGACAGAATGAGAATTACTGTGTTATATTGCAAAGCATTGCCCAAAGATTGTGCTCCAATATCTCCCATTTTATTTCGATTGAGGTTTAGTGTGGTTAGTGACTAGATGAAAAAGTGGAGGTAAACAGATCGTATTGTTAACGAGAGAATAAGTATTACTCTATTGTGTTGTAGTGCACTACCCAAAAATTGTAGTACAACATCTCCGATTTCATTCTTTCGGAGCTTTAGTGTGGTGAGTGACTAGATAAAAGAAATGGAGGTAAAAGCATGGTACAGATAAAGAAAGAATGAAAGTTACTGTGTTGTGTTGTAATGCAACAGCCAAATATTGTGCTCCACCATATCCAATTTCTTTCCACGAGAGATCTAGTTTGCTGAGTGTCTAGATGAAAAAGTGGATGTAAAGATATGCTACAGACATAGAGAGAGATAGAGTTACTGTGTTGTGTTGTAATGCATCATATAAATATTCTGCTTCAGTCTCTCCGATTTGGTTCTTCAAGAAATCAAATGTAGTAAGTGTCTAAATGAAAAAGTGAAGATACAAACAAGGTAAAGATGAATAGATATAACAGTTAGTCGGTGTTTCATGGAGTTGAAGCAGTGAGTTGAATGTTGTGCGAACCCGGTCCTAGTGCCTATGTGTGGCAATATGACTATTTATAAGCTTTTATGTGCTGCATAGTGGGCAATGAGATTTTATGAAAATTTAGACTGAAAAGAAGTTACCAAACGTAAACTGGGGATAGAAACCTTTTGTCTGTGAGTTTGTGAATGTTTATGAAAGAAGAGAAACGTTTTGGTGAATGAAAAGTACGTAGTAGTTGGGAAGTTACGTCAGCGCACAACGATTATAAAGGGTAGTATTATGTAGAAAAGTGATAATATATTGCGGTAAATGGTTAAGATGCAGTAAAGTATTGTACAGCGCTTTTTTTGTATTCTGTAGATATGATGAAAGATAGTTATCTGCCAGTAGTTAGTGAACGATTTTGTGTCAAGTTCATTATTCAGACTGGATATGTATTTTGTATCAGAAGTACGAGTGCGTTACTCAGTAGAGCCTTATTGATGCGTATGTTTTGTGAAAGTAGATATTGATTTTGATAGTTGCTTTCGATGCCGCCATACGGTTGCGTTCATGAAGCAACATTGGTTTGTGAAAGGATTGCTTTAGAAGTAGTATACCTCGAAGAAGTATTTCATCTTGTTGGCTTGGGTGTGAGTTATCTGATTGGATGATAATGTGGATATTGTTGTGAGTCAATCTTCTGTTCGTTTACATCCGCTGTCATCTGTACCCACAGTCGTGTGTGCTCGTAAAGCAGTATTTATCGGCGATATTTCCCATGAAAATATTGAGGATGTTACTTATAGCAAGATAAATTAGTTTATTGAAGGCTAATTTTTATCATGGAAATGGTATTTTAAAAAAAGGTACTTAGAAGGGCCTACAGAGAAAACAGTAATGTTTTGTTCCTTTTTTTCGTTCTTATCTAACTATTGTATGTTTATGACATCATACGTAGTGTGGAAGGTGAAATATTTAGATAAATTGAAAAGAAAAAAAAAATGAAATTATTTTTTCTGACTATCAGAACACTATTTTCATATTGTCATAATATACGAAATGAATTTATGGGGAGAGCGGGATAGCTGATGAATTATTTTCAGTGAAAAATAGTTTGTCCATGTATGTTTTAGTGAAATCAATAAATGAAAGTTCACCTGATATCGATGATAACTGTCTACGATCTTGTCGAATCGTTGACACACGTTTCTCATGGAGCATATGATCGTGAGATCCGATTGATGATCCATAATTCGGTAGACAAGTTCTACTGGTAAAGTGAGGAAGTTAACGAAGGTTTGATTTGCCATTATAAATTGATGATGAAATGCGTGCGATGTAGACTTATCTGTTGGTTATATATATTGTTCGCGATTTTATCGTTAAGTGAGTGGATATTTGTTTTGTTTCGTGGATGTCACATGATGCTGTAATTACTTGTTGGAAGAAAAAAAACAAAAAAGAATTACATCAACTATAGAATGAGAAAATCGAGATAAGAACTAAAGGCAACATTTTTGTCAAGATTATTTTATATCTAAATGAAATGGTACATAATAGACATGAATATTCTTTTTCGTTTCAAATCTATACTGTTGTTCGATCGTAAAATCAAGTATATATATTTTATTAGACGGTACAGAATTTATTCTCATAAAGCACAGTCAGACGAGTGAAAAAGAAAAAAGACAAGATTTATAAATTCGCGGCTGACGAGTTTTGCTATACTTTGATCAGTTGTTGGACAAATTTGTGTGAAATATTGACAATATTGTGCTCCATTTGTTGAATTTTTTTGAAGTATGATTATTTACAAAAATATTTATTTTATAATCTAGAAATTTGAGAAAAATGTGTATTTCTTTTTATTAGGAACAGAAAGCATTCGAAATAAAAAAGCTGCAGATTTTTTTCTATTAGAAATATCAAAATAAGTCCTCGTTACAGTATGAATATATCGTCTCGATTAATTTATATGATTTTATATCTGTTTCGACTCTTGTTGTATACAGAGTAATTTTATTAAAATCTTTCATCATCATCATCATTTATATCAGAATAGATATAATTAATCACAAAGAAAGAATAATAAACAATTTATTGGGAAAAAATCGTTAGCAAACCAAAAATTTCCGAAAACACATTGTAATTATTTATAAAAAAAAGTTTTGGATTTGTACACTGTTCTTCGTTTGAGAAAAATAGTATCAATTTTGTATGCATATCTTCATGTTGAAAAATATTAATGTGGGTAGAATGAAAAATAGACAATTCGAGTATTAAAAGCAGTAGCAGTAAACGTTTTGTTATTGTTTAGTGAGCTTGCGCAGTCTTTCTTTTTATATGCAGTAATAGTAACAGTGGTGTTCTTTTAGTTTTGTGGTATTTGATTATTCTTGAGCTAATAAAATAGTATCAAAATTTTGACTAAGTTGTTTCTCAGAATAGATAATAGCATATGCTGTCACTAGATATGATATTTTCTAAATAACTTTCAATCTATGAAAGATAGTGAAAACAGCAATTATCATTGTTGTAAATGAAAGATGAAGATGTATCATGTTATGAATAGCAAGTTCTTTTTATTCTCTTTTTTCTAAATATTGAAAAATAGCTAGAAAGAGATGGTTTGTTACATAAATTGTTAGAAAATTATCTTTGAGATTTGACTCAATTACAATTAAGTGTTGATCAATAAAACGTAATATATATAAGCCTTCAATAGTTTCCAGATCCATGATTCATGACTTAACTATATATATGATGGCTGATAAGAGTTTATTGTTGTTGATAGTTTAATATTGTAGTTGTAGATTTAAAAACTGAATTTAAACTCTTTAGGATGTGGGTATAAGAGTGGATGTAAGTGTGATTATCTTTATTCTAAATCCATACCCACAACCTCAAGATATTCGTTACATCGAGACATTATTCTTATTTGAATGCTAATCGATGGAAAGAAATTCTTTATCACATGCCAAGTTTAGAGAAACTTTATATAAATGTGATAACTTCAAAGAACAAAATCGGTATTGAATGTATTAAACGTTTGCTTAAAACAAAATGTGAACTGTAGGTATATATGCAGTCATTCATTTCTCATTCACTCACAAGCTCCGGTTATTCACATATCTGCTGACCGATCGAAAACATTTCTATTTCCATATTATTGAACTTTGAACTAACATTTTGCGACGGCGTACAGATTTATTTTCTCGTCCATAGTGCTGCCTGATTCAGTCGCCTAGAAAAATGCTTTTCTTTCAGCATAATATTATAAATTCATCATCATAATTGAAAATAATCATTTAGTTGAATAGCGAAAAGTGAAGATGAAGAGGTAAGTTTGAAAAAATAGAATACATTCTCTTCTAAATGAATATTTTAAGAGTCAACTCCAATCATTGCTTGAATGCGCCTAAACGAAATCCAAAAACTGTGTTTTGCCATCGTCTAGCAACACATTTTGAAGATCTTTCTAATGAACTTTTACTCGATATTTTCGATTTTCTTGATGGTTATCATGTATTTGAAGCTTTTTCTAATCTCAATAACCGTATCCAACATCTCATTACTAGTTCTTATTTCTCCCTCAAATTAAATATTTCATTTATGTCTAAATCGAATTTTAACAGACGTTCGAACAATATTATCCGTCCATATATGAATCAAATTATTTCATTACAATTATCAGAGTCATTTTTCATCAAAAATTTCTTTACATCATTGTTTAGTGATACATCATTCAATCGTCTCGAATCATTGGTACTCAATGATCTTAATGTAGATGATGATGTTTCTATTCTTAATAGTTTAGCTCAATTACCTCGACTCTTCTCTCTCAAAATCTTTTGTTACGAATGTAATGAACTATTTTTTATTTTTCAATCAATATTTCGTCTACCTGTTTTACAATATGCCAAAATTTTGTATTCGAACTGGACTACTACAGTTCCGTTTCCCCTGGCTACGAGCGACAATCAACGAAGTATGACTCTTGAGTATCTCACTGTTGATAGTCCACATCATCTTACAAGTATTTACAATCTTCTATCATATACACCTCGACTTCGTCGTTTGTCAGTTGAGAGTATATTTGATACTAGATGCAAACCACTAAAACAATTTATACAACCACGCAATCTAACTAGTATTTCTCTATGCTATTGGGATTTATCATTTGATAAATTCGCATCATTCATTGCAATCGTTGGTTCCGAACTCGAATTCTTACGCATTTCAATTAAACATCCAACTGCTCTATCAAATGTTTATCAATGGCAACAATTAATTTTACGCCATATGCCACGTTTGCGTACGTTTCTCTTTGATTACCACGGTCCATTAACTAAAGATGCTCATGGAAATAGTCGCTGTCGAACGTTACTTGATGAATTTGCTTCGCCATTTTGGATCGAACGCCAATGGTTTTTTGCCCATAGCCATTGTGATTGTTTTTCTCAAGAAGAAGAAAAAGAATGTGTGTCATTCTACTCAACTCAAATGCGCCGGTATAGTCAATGAGAGAAAATACTTATTGTTATGAAATAATAATTCTTTTCTTTTAGACGAGAGTTTTGTCTAAGTGATGAATCTCTCGATAATAACATATGTTTGTACCAAGATCCAGTCTTCTATTTATCTTTTGGACCACGCATTGGTATAAAAAGTCAAAATATTGATGCTAATTTTTCTTTTCAATTTCCTTATGTAACGGAATTAGAAATTACAGATAATTATTATAGGATCAATATGGGCTCATTCATTGATAATCTAAGTCATATTTTTATTTTGACAAATATTACTTATTTAAAGATTCCATTAAATAATCAATTGTTGCACAATTTTGTTAAACTTCTTAATCGTATACCTAATATTCAAAAACTGGTTCTTGACGTACGATCATCATCTAAAATGGAAGTATCGTCAGATCAACAAACTAATACAGTTGACTTGGTATGCAATAATAATGTGCGAGATGTACAAATAACTGGTGAACTTACACTTGCCACTATTCGACTAATCAATAAGCTTTTTCCTCGAATGGAATGTCTTCGATTTCTGAATAGAGAGAATGCTCTCATACCATTTGTACGAATTTTGTTATCAAACAGAACTAATAACAATCATCTTTTCTCATTGGTATTTAACGGTGATGATGCGATGATTAAACAATTGAAGACAATGATCGATAATGAAAAATTACTTGATAATTATAATATCGAAGATCGACAGGATGAATTGTGTTTATGGTGGTAAAAAAATGTATTTTGTTCTTACACTGTCTATAGTTCATTAAATACTAATTATTTCAAATAAATTGTGGTTTAATTATTTTCCGACAAGAGATAAAGACGGGAGATATGCAATTCACATTGAGAATGAGAGTGAAGTAAAGATTTAGAATGACGGTTTACAATTATCATTACATTTCTCACATCGAAATATCTGCGACATGCACTATCACTTATTTTCAAAAGTTCCTACAAATTGATATTCTAAAGGTGAACGCGGAGTTATTTAATATATGATAAAACATGATGAATGCCACTATATCGGATGCCTTCACGCTATCTCTAGTTTGAACATCATACTCTTCAAACGATGAGCGATAATACGATACAAAAATGAGATATTTTGGTGTTTATTTATCTAAATATGACTGCTATAAAAGGTTTAACCGTTTTTACAATAAGAGAATCAAGATTAATAGCGCCCATATTTTTTAACATGCCTGAAAATCCTTCAAAAATGACTCTTCTGGCAGTTTACATGCGTTTTTCCAAAATTTTGTCTGCTTCGGTAGCATATTCACACATGAATCTCACACGCTCATATTCAATTAATTTAGAAAATAAAATAATAAACATCGAAGTACAGCTACAAATTATAGAGTCGCTTTAATAAAAATGAAACTACAACAAAAGATTTATTGAATGAACTTTCTGATTTTGTAGAAGATTTTCTTGGGTGTGGGTGTGGGTGTAGTATGAGTATATTAGCCATAACACACTCACACCGACCCCGTCAGTATAATTAATAGTCTGGGAAGTCAATGAATTTGAGGCTACTGATGAATTTTCAACATTTTTGAGTTTAATTGTTTTTGGTCAGGCGATGCATATTCAGTAATCTGAATAACTCAAGAAACAAAGTGCAAATCAATTGAAAAAGTCCGCTTATTTCAGTTATTTTGTTCACCGATTATTGATCAATGAGGCAGATACCTATTTCATTAACTGAGACGCTATTCGAGATTAACTTATTAGTCACCAAAATAATCGAAATTAATCAGCAGTTTGAAATTGGTTTGTACCAATTGGATAACATTTTATGATTTGTGTGGGTGCTTTATCTATGTATCGATCGTTCTATTTATATTTTACTATATAATGGAAGTTTCTTTAATATTTAAATTAAATATCTTCATGATATAAGAAATGAAAATCAATATTAATTATATAGGATCACTGTAAACGATAAGAGCAATATATGTTAAATTTTTTTCTGGCCAGTATTAAATAATATATGAAGAAAAGTTATGATTTTTTCAAAATTCATTAAAATACAAGATATATTCTGCAACCTGTATAAATTATTAAACAATGAATTATCAGTGTTCTTTCAATATATGAATTTGACTCGATTCTAAGATAATTGTAAATGTTGAGAAATCTCTGAAAACCTTAAAATCATCAATTCAATATCGAACTTCGCATCGCATTTCGTATTTGAGTGAAACTCGAATACCATCTAGTTTCAGATAGATGAATTTTGATAGAAAGTTCCATTCAAAATTGTTTATTTCATCTTTCAAAAATATGCATTGAGTTTCGTTTTAATCAATACAATGGTTTCATCACAGAAATTTTTAATTGTGATATTATATGTGAGTAATTTTCGAATAAATGAACTCGAAATTATTTATTTAAAAAGATAATCATTGTACAAAGTATTTGAATACAAGAAAAGTCATTGATTTATCGTATTACAGCTATATTGATTAAATGATACTTTTATTCAGTTAATCAAGTTTGCAAGATTTTTCGTCTCCCATATCAAAATAATGAATTTAGAAAAAAAATCGAATTTGATGAAAAGTAGTGATATTCAAAGTAAATGAACTATTTCATACAACGTATAGAAAAAGAACTTCTAAGTTTTACTTACTGATATAAATAAGCATTTTCCCTCCATATGCTTTGAAACCTATATTAATACACAGATGCAACAAAATTCTATTTATTCGAATTAAATGATTTTTTTCGTGAAGGAATTTACAACACGAAACGAATGTTTAATATGTTATTCAAGCGTAGGAAAGTATGCATCGTACTAGTATCACGCTATATTGCTACCATGTGCGCCATTCCTTATCTAAGTCCATTCTTAAATTCATTCCATATAAACACTTCCAAGTGTCACATAAACAAATAAATTGAAATTTAAAAGAAATACTATCTACGCCATTTCTTAGTCAGACAAAGATATTTCAATTAATATAAACATAATAAAACTATTCAATGTTCTATCGTTTTTTTTTTATTTAATCGAACACAACGAATTACATATACAAAAGAATAATATTCGAATATAATACTAATCTGACTTGAATCGATTAGAATTATTTCTTATGTTGATACCTAAAAATATAGATTTGAGTTTTTTTATGAAGAAAATGTGTTTCTCTTTAGAATTTTACTGGTTCAATTGATAGACTTGCACCAGCTTTTGCTTTTTCCAGAGCTTCTGGTTGAAGACTTATATTACTCTCACATTTCCATGGTCCATTAATTGTACCTTAAAAAATATCATACAATTAAATTCATTGCCTTTTTTTTTCATTCAATTTCAAACCTTTCCACATTCGAATTCTTCCATCATCCCCACAACTATAAAGAACTGAACCAAATACATTCCAACAAACTTTCCATACCTATAGAATAGGAAAAAAAAAGAAATTCATTTCGAAAACAAAATCTCAAATTTACCGTTGAACCATGATCATCTAATGTAATAATTCTTATTACATCATATATTTGTGCTTTATTCTCACTACTATTATTCAATTCTCCTCTACATAGAAAAAGATATTCATTGAATAATTAAAATATTGAACAACAAAAAAAATCCTATTTACTTTGCTGGAGTTATAGTAAATAAATCAATATCATTCGAAGCTACAGCAAGTAAATGATAAGATTGACCAAAATTCGGTGCAAATTGAATATCTTTTATTGCGTTTTGTACTAACATATTCACACTAGCTAAATCAACTTTAACTGCTCGTCTTAAAAAAAAGAAAATAAACAAAAATACAATTTATTAACAATATAATCTTTTAATTTACCTATCAGGAGCGTATTCCCATAGTTGAAGTTTAGCACCTGTACTAGTATTACAATCATCACTTCCAACAGCAATTAATGGAGTTAAATGATGTCTAAAATAAAGTTTAATAGACATGTTTTATGTTACAAAGACTTGTATACCTTGCTGTACTCCATGAAATACAACTTAAATTCGACATTTTTGTTTGAATTTCTTCTTTATTAACAACACTTGCACCTTGAAAATCATAGATACGTATTCGACCATCGAAAAAAACAGTAGCCTATATAAAAATAAATTAATTATTATAAATTTAAAATATTTTTTTTATTAAAACTAACAAGTATTAAACCAAGATGTTTTGGAGCAAATTGTATCGCTATTGTATTATAAGTAGATGAATGTGAACTTGAATCGGAATTTGTTGGTCGTTGTTCCGAAGAACCAAATAGAAATGATTCATAAAAACTATCTATTATTACAAAATATTGAAATATAAATATTTCTATTGAATTTCCTTTGTACCCTTATTTTGCCATTTTGTAGCATATTCCGATGGATCATTAGCTGCTGTTGGAGACTAAACTAGAGAAAATTGTTAAATAAAAATTAATAGAAAGAAAAAAGAAAACTTACTTCGTACCAAACATTCACAAAACGATCAAAAGCTACAGTTGCAAGAATACCACCAAATTCTGGATGAGCCCATGTTACTCTAAATATTCAATATTTAATATAATTAAAAGTATGATTTTAGCAATTTACCGTATCATAGGACCTGTTTGTGTAGGAAGCTGTTTACAAAAAAAAATAAATGAAAGGTAAGACTATTCTTTTTATTAAGGATTATTTACCGAGAAAGTACCGGATTGTCGCCATGTATCATCATCATGCAAATCGTAAATCTAATTTAATAGATTATTTAGATAAATAAATCAAAATTGAAAACTAACTCGAACATATCCATCACTTGAACATGTAGCCATTCGTGTACCATAAAAATTAAATGCTGTATCATGTATGAAATCTTTATGTAAATTTGGCAAAAATCTTAATTCTTCAGTACCCATCATTTTTATTATGCAAACTAAATTTGAATAATAATAAAAAAATGTTTTTTTTTCTATATCATATTTAATTGACTTATTCATTGGTTAGTACAATTAATCCATTGATATACTCACCGATTCTTTTACTAATATTCTCAATAACTGGAGCCATCTATTGAATGGATTTATGACATTGATACACTATGTAACTATAAACTATATATTTATCTGGAGAATGTGTTCTGATAATCTTGATAATTTATTCTTCGTACTCGCGCTATGTTGTTCATTGAAACAATATTCAAATATCAAATGTTATTTGTAAATTAAGATAATTTTGATACTCATGTATTATTTATACTTTCACAATGTTATAGTAAACGCCTGTTTTTATTTTGAATTCCTTTTTAGTAGTAAGTAATTCAATTGTATGAATAATTCTACAAAATGTAATGAGAACCACTATGCGTTTAATAAAACTTACATATCTTCAAACGCGAAAATTATATAAACTATCAGAACTAAGCTTTCGAGTTATATAATAAACAATGATAGTTAGACAAATCTATATATAGCTTGAAATAGATTAGCATGGTTATCAATAATAGATGAATTATTTATTTCGATTTTAAATAATATAAAAGTTTTTATCGTTGTGTGATCTGCTAGTTTTGATTTAAAATCAATAATATAAGGATATCTGAATGTAATAGTTTAATCAATTCGAGAAATTATTTATTTTCGTATAATCAAATGAAGATGTTCTTCCATAAATCGTAATTTTTGATTATAATGTAAATTAAATTCTGCTGTTGTATTCAATACTTCGATAAGTTCAATAGAACAAGTTGATCCTATGAATTTTTAATATAAATAAATTTTATACAATAATAAATATTTACCAAATAAATGAATTATATCATCATCAGATACACAGTGAGGAGGACCTATGAATTTCAGATAATTCATAAATTTAAATCGAAATAAATTACTAACCACTAAAAGAAGAATCTTTATAATAATTAGCTAATAGATAAAGTTGTGTATGTCCTGGTGTCATTAATCGTGAGAGAATATCTCGATATCTAGAAATTAACAAAAATAATTTCGATAAAAATAACTTTCAATTTCTTCAAACTGTTTTCGTTCTGAAATATTAATCGCTACAAATCCTCCACGATCCCAAATCCAATCAATAGTTGGCAATGATCTATAAAAACATTATAATATTTTTAAAAAACTAGATTAATATCGATATTTACTGATCGAAAGTAAAAAAATCCATACAATAAATTGTTACAGGACGATTAATACCCTATATATGAATAAATAAAACTAGTTAATCAATAATATTTATATTTACTTTATAAATTGAATATTTATTATGTTCATCATTCGTAATATCATGTTCAATATTATTTTCTTCAAAAAATGCTTCAACACCTAATTGAATATATTCAATACCAATAACTTGATGATTGATATCTAATACGGCTTTCATATCTACAGTTTTACCACTTAAAGGAAATAGAACACATTGTTGTTGATCTTTTGAGATTATTTTTGAGAGTATATGTTTCTTAAAATGTCTTTAGAATAGAATCGATAAAAATAACTGAAAAATAGTTTTTCTTTTTTTTTATAAAACATACTTATTTACAGACAATCGATTGAAACCAATTTTACTATTGAGCCATAATTCATTCCAATAAGTTATATCAGTATTTTTAGCTGATCGTTGATGTTGCTCTTTATTTGTTTCATTCATTATTTATTTGATAAATATTATTTTTTTTACAACTATATTTAATTTGTTGTCCTTGATAAAAAAAATATTTTACGTACGTCATCATTCCGTTCTTGCATACGATTTCAATGATATCATTGTTTGACCTGACTCATTGAAGATTTATATCTTTTGGGCGCTTTATATTTTCTATTCATTCTTACATAGGACTTTTTTTTGTATCATATAATTACATATATCATCGGTCATTCTCTTCAACTATTATGACCAGATGGATTTCAGCTATCAAAATAAAAAGAAAAACATACTTTGTTGTTTATCGAACAAAATGATTCGTAAAACTTGTAGGTCATCTAACATTCAAGAGACTGCGATATACTTTTTCAATCAAAAATAGCATATAACAACTTTCTGATATGTTATATACGAGGATTGTGAATTTCTTGAACTATATTAGCATCTATGTTACACATAATTTCCCTTTTAATAGAATGTACCTTTTCACAATTAATTGTTTATCTTCTGTCATATACATATATACTACTTCTATGATATATGCAAATATAAGTAATGATTATAGTTATATTTAGTATTATTAAACTGCATATAATTGATGTTTACTTATTATTAATTCGTGTTTACGTATGACAATCTCACTGAAAAAGAAATAATAATACAAATAGCAAAATATTAGTACGCTATACTAGTAATATCGATTGTTATAGCAAATATCTATTCATACTATGAACTACTACAAAAGATATTTAAGTTAATACACTAATACTTTTATGCACAGATTTCTTGACTTATGATTGATTATGTTTCATTTTTCCGTATGTAACTGTATAATTTTATAATTGCTTATATTCTTTGTTAGCATATAAACAAATGACATCTATTGATGAATTTTCTGTACTAAATATTATACATATAAATATAATACGAACATCATTTCATAGTTATTTATATAGTGTACGATACAAATTAGAAACTATTTAATGAAGAACTTAAATTTTTCTATTCATGATCATATATATACACTCTACATTTTTACTGCCTATCCAAGGTCATCAGTTTAATCAAATGTGGATTCTTTTCTTTCAGACGAGGTTTTCTCTTACTATTACCTTGCTTTACACATATATAAATCCGTGTTTTTTTCTTTCTGTCTCGACGTATAGTACGTATCATATGTTTGCCTTTATTTTGTAGACGCATGAAACAATATATATAATCATTCATTCTCACAAGACTAAAATATGATTTTTTTTGTAATTTGCTTTAACCCACTCAGACTTGTTGTTTTCATTGAGCCATATTTATTAATGTATTATATAATTAGGATTAATAAAAAGAAACAACTCCATTGAGTAATGATGAGCACGTAGATTCTTCGCGGAAAAATAAATGTTCTATACAACCCTCTATATATTAAAGAGCTGTTAATCGAATATTTAGTAATATAATCAGAATGATATTAGCTAATATTGTTGTAATTATCTGGTTAGCGGCAGATGCTTAGTGCACATAATGGACAATATGTATTCGATCGCAAGTTACAAATTACATGAAGTATTATTACAAATTATTCTTATGTTTTGTTTGAAGATGTTTGATTATGAAATTGATTTATTTACTTAGTTTGCATACGATATACTGCGTGATATTATTAAATAAGGTGAAATATATCTCAACAGAAATGACACAAAAAATGCACTTGAATATTTTGGATACTCGTTGCTTTTGAACATAAATGTAAATGAAATCTATGATAATAATAATATATGTTTGACATATCTTACACGACTAAACGATGACAGTAATAGTGTTGTTAAATTATTGCATCAAGCAAAACAATCAGACGATATATAATCCATTTTAGTTGTACTGTTGTGAATCTTTTTATAGTATAATATTATGTCGTCATATTGAAAGAATGAAAAAATAAGTGACTTATGTCTTTTTTCTTTATTTAATAGTAATAGTGACAATTTTGATTTTGGTTGTTTTCTTCCAAATGAAGAATTATTACACGTAAATAATTGATACAATGATATATTTTAATACGAAAACAATTATGCACTAGTAAAACTACGTCATTTTTATTATTGTTTAAATTTAGGTACTAACACAATATATATTCGATATTAATTCCATGTTTTTCTAATTATTATTTTAGATATAAAATGTCTAATGATGCAAATGCAGATAGCGAAGAAATACCAAATCATGCGATCGTTTGGCTCGATCTGAATATAGGAAGACGAGACGATTATCAACAATTGAAAGCTGCCTTTTCAAGTACAGCCGATCCAAATCATGTTAATCCAGTAAGATTAATTGACAAAGATGATGAAGAAATTGGTCGTGCCATCGGTTTCGAACAAGTCAATTTTGAAGGCGTAAAATTTTTATTAGCAGCATTTACAAATGTTGAACGCTGTGTGGAATTTTTACAAGATGAAAAAAAGAAAAATCTTTCTGATAACATCTGGCCAAATGGGACGAGCAATTTTACCATTGATTAAGCAAAAATGTATCGATGTCTTTACTGATCCAATTACAAATGAACCATGCCAATCAATTTATGTTTTCTGTCATAGTACTGAACGCAACATGGATTGGATGTTAGAATATTATGAATACTTAGCACCACCGTTCACATTCGATATAGATTTATTAGTACGTATGATACGTGATATTGCCAATTATTTCGTTATCGAAAGTAAACGTTTATTGGAAAGCGATCCTCCAAATTATTCAGCTGCTTATAATCGTCTCACTTGGGCACATACTCTTTATGATAGATATCGAACAATGGAAAAAAAATCCATTAACTAAAGAATTTACTGAAGTTAATGATCTTTCAGAAAAAGTTGAGCAACAAATGAGAAGATTGAATAATGATGATTGAGTGATAGATCAACTCCAATTGCAGAAGAAAACTATTTTTTAAAATATGTGTGCTCATATGTTTTCGTGAAATTTTTTTATAAAATAATCAAAATTAAGTATAATTTCGAATAAAGACATTTATACTTTTTTTGAATTATTTATTTGCAGTCATAAAATGAACAGAGAAATAACTTTAATTTTATTAAAAATCAGTCTATTTTGTACGATGGTTACAATGAATTTTCGATAATCAATAATATAAAAAACTATACAAAGTTGAAACCCTATTATATGATCATTTGAGTCATTTTTTCGATCAACTAAATGAAAAACACCTTTTTGATTTTTTCTATATCGTAGAAGAGATTAAGTTTCCTAGTCTTGCCCGTAGAGTAAAAACCGCAGCTTTCTATTTATATATATATAACTTGTTACTCTGTATTTATTTATTTTTATGAGTCATTATATGTACTGATGAAATACAAAACTAGGTTGACTATTTTGATGACATATTCATTCAGTTATTGAGTGAAAACATAAGTCATAGATTATTTTCGCTTTCATTGACCTTTTCAAAAGTTTTTAACTAGGTAGTTTATTCATGTTTTCAATTTTTTTCAATCACTTGGTTTTTTCCCAGTATGAATCATCGCTGATCACTTAAAAAAAAAACAATCTTTACAATGCCAACAACTACTTTATCATATGAGAAGGCAGAAATATTCAGGTATGTTGTCTGGTTTATATGAATTAATACAGAATTGACTAATGCTATTCAAGTTTATTACATTTAGTATTTTTGTTCACATCTTTAATTCTTATCTTCTAGTAAGTCATGCAATTCATATTAAATTACCTTGCAGTAATTGAAGACATGAATAAAAAAAATTGAAATCCTTTAGGTGTCGGCGAAATATTTTATTGGTTTTGTTGTCGTCTATCGATACAAGCACTCATGATTCTGTTTTTACCTTTTATTTTATCTCATATACATGAAATTTATATTTAAAGAATTTTGGTGAAGAATATTAATATATGATTTTATTATTATTTAGAAAAAGTCTTGTCTAAATCTCATTGTTATTTGGTTCGATCGTACATTTAATGAACAAAACAAAATAAAACGACTACTTACTAGTAAAAAAACATGCGTAGGTAAATATTACCTTTATATGTTAATGTAAATAAGGAATAAAAACAAGAATAACATTTTCTTCTTTGTACGTTGGAAATTTCCAACAAAGTAAAAACTTATAAATAGATGAGTTACGCCATTTAGATTAACATTATTTACTTCATTTATATAAGACATCAATTTATTCATCCTGATAAAACATTCGTAAGTATTTTCATCCTTGAGAGTGATATATTTAAAAATTCAAATTGAATATATTTGTTAAAAACGTATCGGGATAAATAACAATTAAGTCAATTATCGTATCTGTTATCACTCCTTTTTGTTTTTTATTCATCTTCTTTCATAAAACAAAAATCATCCTTTTCTTCTCAATATTCACTCCTTAAATACTCAACGATATTCGTAGTACGTGAGGAAATGAAAGAGAATCAGCATTCTTTATGGAGAGATATATATCATGCCATAACAGTACCTTATAAGTCTGTGTTGTGGCATTTAATAAACATTTCTCTTGTAAAATAACGATCTTATTCATTGAATATACTAAAATATATATATTATTATGCTAATATTAACATGTAACTTTATATTTATTATATATAGCATAAATTTCAGATAAATTTTTGCTAATACATTCAAAATGGCATTAGCTAACGGTGTTCGATTTATCTGGCTTGATACACATATTGGTCGGGATGGAGAGTATCAGGAATTCAAAAGAAGGTTTCAAAACACCTTAGAAGAAACTGCAGCAGTTCCACCAGTTCCACAGGATCCAATCAATGCACTTATTTTGGCTTTAGAACTAAATGGTGCACCATTTTTGTTCGCTCATGAAGCTGCTCAAGCAGTAAAGCTTATTAAAGATCATCATGATAAACAAATTATTTTTATTACATCAGGATCTCTTGGACAACATATAATTCCAAATATACTTGCTTCTTATCCTTATGTTTATCGATTCTATATTTTTTGTAATTATATAGAAAATTATACTGAACTCGGTATAGAATACAGTTCTTGTTTACAAATGTTTAATCATGAAACAGATCTACTTGTTCGACTTACACGTGATATATCAAAAGATATTATTAAACAAGGAGAAATATATATGAATATATATGATCTAGGAAATGCTCTAAAATGTTTTGAACATGCTGTTACTTTGAATGTCAAAGCAAATCAAATATGTCTTCCAGAAGATATTTCTTGGGATTCTCTTAGAAAGTTGAATGGCCATGGAAATTCTATTGGATTAATTCAGCAAGCAAGAGATATGCAGAATCAAGAACAACAATAATTGAAAGAAAATCAATATATCTCGTTTTTATATACTTTTCATTCCTTATTATTATTGCAGTTTTCTAAGAAAAATAAAAACATTCCCAAAAAATGATTGTAATCATTTTAGTGAAATTCTAACAACTTTAGTTGCTCTTCTATATTTAGTATTTGTTGATATTATGAAATTGTATGAAATAGAAATGTTTATATAATTTATCGATAATTTATTATATTCTTATCAAAAATAATTCCAATATTAATTATAATTGATATGATTATTCAAAATAATTTTGGTTGGTCAATTGTTGTTTAATAAATTGATTCAAGTTGTTCAATTAATTATAAAAATTTATTTGTTATTATTTGCTTTGAGTTTATTTTATTTTTTATTCCAATAACTATTTCTTTTGATGTAAATATTCAATCTTTAATTTATTTAAAAAAAACAAATTGTTCAAAAACGAATAATCACAATTATAAATTAATAAATCATTTTATAATATTGTATATAATTTCGTTAATTCTTTGAAGACCATCTGAATTTATTGAACAATTTTATAGCCAATTAATAACAAATCAAATTGAATTTATTGTTATTTTATTAGATCCTTTTAGCAACAGTTAAATAAAGTATCAATAACTTTCATAAAACAGAAAAGAAGATAATTGTTTTTATTAAATACTAATTTACATTTAATATCCAGTAACAAATCTATAAAATCATCTACTAAACAGAAAACTATATGTAAGATGTAATGATTAGAACTGAATCAGAGACCGGCGGTATTGCAAAAATTTCATACCGTCCCGTACCGTGTACCGCTTTCACTCGTATCATACCGTACCGTACCGTACCACCTGATAATTTTTCGATACCGTACCGTACCGTTACCGCCTAGAGTCTGAACTATACCGTCTCACGAAATACCGTACCGCCAGAAAAAATTTTTAAGTTTTCTCCAAAGATATCACGATCCGTTTTATTGAGTTATCGGGTCATATATAGATTACTTTTTCGATGGATATTGACAACAAACTATAAAAAGAATTATAAGAGCATACGAAAAAAGGAATTCCAAGAACGCATGAACTTATTAATTGTTACACAACGTTGCGTAATTTTACAGAAAGAAAGCATGGACAAGTTAAGTGCAAAATTATATAAATATATACAAGTGTTTCATGCACTTTAGTATTAATTTCGGGTGTACAATTATCAAAAGTTTTAAATTAAGAAAAATAAAATAAACTTATAGGGTGAATTGGCTCTAAAGGTGGCAAGTCAAGTCCTTTTTCGACTCGAATCAAGTTAAATTAAGCCAAATCAAATGACTTGCGACTTAACTTAGACTATAACTTCGATTTGAAGATTTTCGAGACGTGACTTGACTTGATCTGTTCGAAATTTTCAGTTATTGATTTTTACTTGGCTTGGGTCAAAAAGTCGTTGACTTGTCCATATCTGACCGAAACCATCGTCATAGTAAATGGTTGCACATCTTTATATATCTTTTGGACTAATCGATCTTTTCTTTCTCAGAAATAAGAACTAAGGAATCAAACAGTTTTCGGATGGTTATGTACAGTACTCAAATTTTTAGAAGATGATGAAGTCTCAGATGAGAGTAATATGAGACAGTTTTTCGATCAACTGATTCGCAGTTATATGTTTGTTAAGAAACGTAGTGCTGTATGAAATGTACGAACTCGTTGTAAACCATAGGTATTATGTGAAGCAAAACTTAATATTTTTCTCAGAAATACCATGGATATCGACCTTAACAGAAAACTAAATGACTATTAGCAAATAATTGCATGAGTTTTCGTAATTTTGATTCTCGAGAATAATATATTAAGTTTCATTACGTTCTCAAAAGTGTTGAATCGTTTGACGATTGCACGTTTCATTTAACAATAATATTTACGAGAAAAACAAAAAGCAAACGATAAAAATCGTTCTTCTACAGCAATTGTTGACATCAATTGGTCGTTAATATATAACAACGACGATGGTTCTCAAACATCTATATCTGACTTCGAAGGGTCCAAATGAGTGTAGGTCATATTCGACAAAATGATAAGAAATTCAAATAGCTGCGGATAAGAGATTGAGACAGGGTTAGCTTTGCTAAATTCATTTTAACATATAACGCGAATGAAAAACATTTAATAGATGTTTTCGAAAATCATTGCTAAAAGGCTTCTTTTAATATAGACGCGGGAGTGCGGTATAACCCTCTCATACCGCATACCGTACCGTACCGCGGCTTTGCAATACCGTACCGTACCGTACCGCCCTACTTCTTTTTTTCCTATACCGTCTCGTCCCGGTACGGTACGGTACAGTACTGACACCGCATCCCGCCGGTCTCTGAACTGAATTTTATTTTGTATATAATCCAGAAACTAATGCTAGAATAAAAAAATAGTCGATAACAATCAACATATATGTATTAATAATGACAAAAAAATTTTTTAATATCCAAAGGTCGTTTTAAATATCTCTGTGAAAATCGAAAAAACTTTTTATGAAATTAAACTGACATACATGATAATGGAAAATTATATTTTGATAAAATAAATAAATGTTTTAGAATAAACGTTTTTTTGTGTGTTTATTAATGTTTTTTAATTTTGTAAGTCATTTAAAATATCTGTAAATATTCGAATTTCTCTTTTTACTATATTAATAATATTGTTGATTGATCTATTAAGAGATTGTTGATCATGTATTCTATGAAATTAAAGAAAATGAAATATTTTGATACATGTCTAGGTCGAATAATCCGGCACGGGATCGTCCGGTTCCGTGGTATTCCGGAGATTTCGTAGAAGCAATATTCCATTTGAACGAATCCAATGACTAGATTTATCTGGTTTGGGCCGGAACCGGCAGGAAAATATCAGAACCGGCAACCGCATACAGTTACCTCACTTCTCCATCGGATTCCTGGTATTTTCCGGATGGGTTCCACCCGAAAATGGTGAGTTTCGTCAGAAATTTCGCCAGAAATCCATGAAATCCTGATTTAGGAACCATCGTCCTGGATACGAGATAATACGACGAAGTAGAATAATATCTAAAAAAACCAAGAGAAAATATTTTGATAATTAGTCAAAGTTTTTAAAAATTTTATTATTCGTGACTTTGTTGATTTGATAGTAATCTTTTAAGATCATCTAGAATCTCATTGAATAATGGATCATTCAACATATAATTGAGATCAGAAGTTGTAGTCTAAAAAACAAATTTAAATTATTTTTTAAAAGAAGAAAAAACATACAGCAGATGCTCCATTATCAATAACAAGATCTAAAGAACCATAAACAAGAGACTAAATTAGATTTACTATGATTAATTGTAATCTGTGATTCAATTAGATTTCTTATTAAGTTTATAAAATTATTCAATTTCGTATTTAAATCTGCTTCATTTTTGATTCTATAAAATAAGAATGAAAGATATTTTTATATGAATATAAAACTTTATCTGCACGTTCAACTTGTTATCGTGAAATATAAATCTAAATCAATTGTAATTTTTTTTATGTCAGCTTCATATATCTAAAATTAAAAGAAAAACTAATATTTTGATTTGAAAAAGACAGATTCTTACTCAGAGATTAAAAAAAAAAGATTGGATCTTTTTCTAAATCTTGCTTTGACTTCGATAGTTTTGTACGAATATTTGATAACGATGTTGTATTTTGTATTATCTTTTTTCTCCTTTAAAAAAATATAAAATATTGATTTACATGTTTTCATCTATTATGTTTTCTTACATTAATATCTTGACGAATAGTAAAATCATTTGATTTTAGAATATCTTTTATCAAGATAATTGATGCCTCGAATTTCTCAGTGTTGGTTTGTGAAGCCATTTTTATTGTTAGATCTGAAATATAAAATCTTCATCAATTAAGTGGAAATATATGTAAAAAAATTATTTTTTTTTTTAAATCATTTTACTTGGTTCTATGTCAGATTTTATTGTTACACCAA